ATGATGAGGGAGGGAGATCCATATTGACTTGAAGAACGACGAATGCGTCCCGCTTTCAAGTGTTGGTCAATGAGCCTGCGCCAAGCGTCACGGTGTCTCAATGGGTATCCGTATTGTTTACCATTGATCGTAGCATTAGGGTCTGTCAACACAATTTTGTGACGGACCTTCGGCAATTTGTTTTGTTCAGAGGGAGGGAAAAAATCATCCTCCCCTTCCGCAACCGCGGGCAATTCATCAGGAAACAAGCAATTGAACTCTTCAAGCATAGCATCTTCTTTCTCAGCCAGTACTCTGGCACTTTCAACCTTCTTCAAATTCTCTATCACACACGCTATCAACTCTTCCTTTGGAAGTGCGTCAAGATCCTTCATAGCAACTCTATTCAACTCTTTGTCTTTCATTTCATTAAATTTCTTGAATTCCCGGTCATAAATCATCTTCCCACTCTTGGTATGAATAATACAACGTCTATGTACTGAGATATCAACTTTATGTAATTTCAGAAACGGTGTCCCACAGATCATATCATAACCACCGTTGAGTTTGGCCACCTTGAAGAAATTCGCACCGAATTTGATTGCAGGATCCTTTGAATCCAAATTGGCAAAAGTAAAATGGGTAAGCTGTTTTACCGGACCTTCTGATTCAAGAGCCAAACCCACAGTTACGGGCTTAACCAGAGGGCGTTGTGGTATTCGAGCCTTCTGCGCCAAGTGTGCGTCCATCAGGTTGGTTTTGCAGGCTGAATCAAACAAAGCCCGGATGGGTAAGCCATTGCAAACAAGGTCAACAACGATCGAGGGCTCTCTGTTACCAGGGACGCACCTCTCTTGTTTCTCCTCCTCCATGCATGCCACCAACACTTGGTCCGCTTCAGCATAGCGCTCCAGTTCCTCCTTCGAGAGCTCTGGCATTTCAGTCATCGCCGCGACTCGAGTTACTGGAGCTGGATTGTTACTCGGACGGCCTGCTGGTCTTTGAGAAGTCGATCCAGGTGGAGGTTGAGCGTCCGTGCGAGGCGGTCTTGGTCCAGCATTGAATTGCTCCGGTGGTGGGACACTGATGAAGGTACTGGAAGTCTCTGTACAGTTCGGTCTGTTGCACTTTGTCTTGCAACTCAAACACAAGCCAAGGTGACGCATCCATTGCTTATAACGCCACGCGTGTTCCGCCCGTTCTTCTGGGCTTCGAACCGATGGTCTGACTCCATTAGCGACCTGATTTGAATGTGATCCCGATGTTTGATGGCTTTGGAAAGGGTTTGTATTAGAAGTTCTTGATCTGCCTTCTTTGATTTGACCTCCATCCACCAAAACTCGCCAGATTGCTTTTGCACGCGAAATGAAAGTGATCATGTTAAAGGAGTCATCCATGAGGAGTCTATCTTTCCTGACCGTGCTGTCAAAGATATCAGGCACTCCCCAACAGATATACTGTGCGAGTTCTTTCTGAGTGATGCGTGAGAATCTAGCTATCGTTCCGTGAAGGCCTTGGGCTCGTTCGATGAAAGCGTCAAAACTTTTGGCCGGTTTGATTTGTAGCTTTCGCAGTTGTCGTTCGGTATCTGCTACCCAATCTTCAGGTAAGGTTCCTAAAGCGAACAAGTCCATCACCTCAGACCATGTTTTCCCTTCTAATTCAGATCTCGCCGATTGGAACCAAGCTGAAGCTTGTTGGTCCACCAAAAGAGATCCCAACAATTTCATTTGTTCTCTGTCGCTGTTCAAATCTTTGACATCGAAGTATTGCTCCACTAGCCACTGCCAATGAAACAGTTCAGTTGGTTTACCAAAAGGACCCTTGTACTTGGGCACCTCAGCGAGTCGAATCTTGCTGGCCGTTACAGTTGAGCTCGAATCGTCGCTATGGCTATCTGAAGCGTCTGCCCCCTGGTCACGTGCCACCAGAATAGGTGCTGATGTAGGTGCTGGTAAGGCCGGTGACGTTGGTGATAAGGGCGGTAAAACTACCGGTGCTGGTTCAGGAGCGAGCCAGCGAACTGCTGGAGTTGATTGAGCCCATGGATAGGTCCACGGCATCGCAGTCGGTGGCATTGGCAGAGTCTGACCGGATTCCGAATTGTATGCCGGAGGCGCCGCAACCACAGGAATGACGGGTCGTGAGGCAAAATTGATTGTCGGAGGCTGCTCTTGATCACTTGGAATCTGGACTTGCTGTGCTACAATTGGAGAGGGCGAAGCTGGCCCATTTTCCATGTATTGGGCAAAAGGGTTATTTGATTTCGAAGACTGTAAACTATAATCGCCAGCTTGCCCCCGCGTTTCTTCACGTCCTCGAGCTAGGTCTTGAACCATGGTTTCCAGGGTGTCAAGTCGGTCGCAACGCCGTTCCAAAGCTTCATTACGGTCCATTACTTCCTGTAGTTGTCGTTTCAGGAATTCGATATGATCTTTGTCCGAAATCTTTGCCATTGACATCTTGCCTTTCCCACCAGATGTTGATGGTTCCGCCATGACACCTTTGATCTGCGCTTGCGGCGTGAATACAAAAGCACCCGGCGGTCTCGGTGTAGCGAAATTGTCCAAAAGTTTATGTGGTGTAGCTTTATTCCACAGTAATCGGTTGAAAAAATGTTGAACTATCTCCTTATCACTTGTACGCGTCCAGTCGTTGTATTGGTCTGGTAGAAGCTGGACAGGTGTTTTTGGTGATTGTCGATCACTGCTATTCTCGATGAAAATTAAGCGGTTCGACTGAAGGCTAGTATGCGATGATCAGAAGCTGACGTCTCCAGCACTTCCGGTTGCCAATTGTAACGCGGAGGATTCGGAGCTGGTGGACTGCTAGGTGGTGATTCAATGTGTGTCTTTCCTCGAGGACGGCGAAGAAAGGCTTCAGGATTGTCGGAGTAGTTGTCTGGGAGATTACGTCGATCGGGCATGAACAGAAGGCAGAACAGAAGGTGGGATATCGGCAGCAGAGTGAACAGCGGGGTATTTCGACTCAGTCGGAGTGGTTATACAGCAGGGAATCGGAGAGTTTTAAAGTTTAAAATATAGGTGAAAAAAGTGTAAGGTTTCCAAGAGAGAACCTTCACTGTGATCACAGGGAACTGCTCGAAAGCGCAAGTCACCTATAAAATGAATCTATATTCCCAAAATGGCTCCGCGTGGAGAGTCTCCTCTAATCAGTATCCACTAACACAACACTAAGCACACAAGAGAGATGAATAAAAGAACTAATAGAATGCTTACCTGGCTCCGCGTGGAGAGTCTCCTAAGGGAAAAGAGACAATCTGGAGCCAGGGCAACGGAAACAACTACACTAGACTCCTATAAACCCATAACACCCTGTGTAAGCACTAACTGTAAGGCATACCCTTACAGGGACTTGCTTCCCGATACCGGTGATTGAACAAAAACTTTATTTTCCACCTCAAAACATATATCAAATTAGGCTCAGTGACAATGATTGTGCAGACCTGGTGAAAACAAGAAATACAGAAGGTGACAGTGTGGTTTGACAAAAAGCGCGGCGACTAGCTGCTTCAAAAGACCATCAAACCAAAAATTCAAGCAGAAAAGTGATTCAGTATGGAAGTCTACTGTAACACTTACAAGAACTTCCTTTGTTAGATGAAATCAAAAAAAATAGTTAAAGGTTTTAGCAAGATTTTTTTCGGGATTGTCTTCCTGGTAAATTAAAGCTTCGGAATTAGATTATTCTCTGTCTGGGGTCTAGGATTTTCTCCTGTCGCCAGTCGATGTGCGAGCTTAGGTTGAAAATCCTGTGTTGGATGAAGAATGAGCACTATTACTTAACGAGCTTGGAAATACGGCGTTTGATTGCACGGCAAAGGACTCTACTGAGTTGGGGAAGTCAAAACTATGCCCCTGCGACATGCTCCCCAGCATCGGCTCAAGTACGGTTGAACGATTCCCAGAAAGATTGGGGTCCTCGCTAATGAAACCATAGCTGCGGGAATTGTCAAGCGATGATCCCATCATCGAAAGACAATCGCCCTCTACCATCACCCATGGGTCTATCTCGGAGGAAAAATCCCTCGAGGAGTTGCGGGTTGTAGACTTTGCAGGAATAGCTGAATTGGAAGGACGATACGATTCGGGCGCCAAAGGCAGAGCCAGCGAGGTCGAGTTGTCGTTCAACTTATCAGTAGAGTTAGCAAGACTATGTCGATAAGGACTTGTATCGGAGAGTCTCGAGCCATTCGACTCCTTTGTGAGCATGTCGGGTTGGCTATGCATAGGAAGAGACTGGGAGTAGTTTGTACTGCGGTTGCCCGTTTGAAGGTACCTTTGCTGATCGGGGAGTATGCTGCTATAACTGAACAGATCAGCTGGCGAGAGCATTGGTTGGAGATTTGCCCATGGTGACAAGTTTGCGTCCATTGCTGAATCACGTCCGTTGACGCTGGATCCCATTGCATCTCCTTGAAGTATTCCGGATTGCCCAAGTGTACTGTTGTGAAAGGAGTTTGGTCTCTCTGTAGTCAGATCTTGCTGATCAAAGAAAGTATGGCTGTCGGTCATGAGGTTTGGAATACTATAAGAAGGAAACTGAGAGGTGTATGACTGCAGGCCGTTTGTAGATGCACTCATGGGAGTAGGTAACCGAGTTGATTGAGCCGAAGCTGCCCCAAGACCAGCATTATTTCCCAAAGATGAAAAATATGGATTACTTGTCCAGTTTGTTTGTGACGCTTCGGTATTCTTGAGTGAAAGAAACTTTGAATCTAAGCTCAGGGAAAAGGGTTTTTTGGCGCTAGGGTCAAAGAGATTCGGATTCGATTCACCACGATAATTAACCCCATTTTTATCTGTCATCTTGGTTTGGTTGGAATCGGGTAGTGGCGAGAATGAATCAGAAAAGAAGATTTGGTTGTTGACATCGTTGCGGTCGCTCAGAGACGCCAGGGTTGTTCTGAGAGGGTTTCTTTCATCGCCGCAACTCAATTCACTTGGGGTACATTGAGCATCGTTTTCCGATGAAGCGTCACTCAGCCGTACTTTGAAGGGGCGGAAACTCCCGTTCGCTGGAAAGAAGAAGTCGTGTTTGTTTTAAATCATTTCAGCCCATAGATCACGTGACTTTGAGAACTTTCGATATATAGCAACGTAACAAACCTGGCCAAATGGTTCTAAGCCGCTCTTCTTCTCTTGCAACAATATATATGTCTCGTAAAATTGCCATCTTGTCCTGAGTGATGTGGGCAGCTTGCTCCGCTGAAGCTAATTCGAGCCTCGCAACTTCAATTCGGCCAGAGCCCAGGATAGCCAACATCAAGCGCATCCTTTCAGGCTTTGCGAGATGGTCTGGCTCCTTGTGACGAACATCTGCTGGCCACCAGTCCGGCTTGCGAGTATCGCCCCCTCTATAAGGAAACCTTGAATGTGCAAAAAAATCATGATTGGTTCAGCGATGAGGTATTGACGAGTAGAAAATGATCAGGATGCCACTATCAAGGGCAGGAAGCTCACTTGGTCTGCTTTTTGGGTTCGATCACTTTGATCCATGCTTTACAGACCAGTTTACACAAGTTTTGTTGCAGCTGTCCGAATTTCCCCTCCAGAAACTGACTGATCGATTGAGGACTTGTGAAGGAAACTTCGTTCCAAGCCCCGAATTGAGACGAAGGCCGAATGGGCAAGGGCTTGAATATCCTAGGCGCTTTTGAAAGTTCTGATGATTTCAATTCTCGCATCGACTGAAGGCCAGCATGGGTTGTTTCAGCGGATGAAATAGGAATAGTATTGGCTGATTGACAACGCACTACCTTGCTAGAAGAATCGTCCCGGAGGATGGCCGTGGCGGACCTTTCAGGGCAGAGTGATTTTGGGGGAGTAGTGAAATTTGAAGCCATGAGGGAGATATCTGATGTCTTGTTAAAGCTCTTCGATTCTGAATTTTCAAACAGCAGGCCTTCATTTTCATGAGAAGAGTCGTTTGGAGAATCTTCACACAAAGATCCTTCTAAATGTTTCGCTGAGAATTGTAGTTTGGGGATGGGTGATGGAGAACAGACTGAAGAAGCTAAGGATGGAGAAGAGGCCGAGGATTTTACGCTGTGAAAGATTGGCGGGCCCTCTGAGTAGCTTGGCGACTTGGTCACTGACAGCAGGGAATGGACATGAGTGTATCTTCGCTATGAAAAAAACATCGCGGGAACCCCACCTTGTGATGGATCATTTTCCTTCGACTCGTCATTCATATCCCGCATCACCTGATGTAGCTGGTTACTTGCTAGGCAGCTCGCCGAAAGTGATTTGCGTTTTTTGGATAGACCTTCAGGTTGGTTACCAGGCTGTACATCAAGAATCGATGCCCCAATGTTGTCTTTTGCTTGTTTTGCGGCTTGCCTGATCCTTTCAAGGACCTCAGGACCGAACAGACCGCATTGACCAGGTTGATGACTAAATAACTTCTGGAGCACTGGGGAACCGTACACTTCCGTTTCGCCTCGAGCTGAAACCCATACGATAGCAAACTGCGACCCATTGATGTAGGATGATTTTCCTGGATGTCCTCGTGAGCATCACAAACGGAAAAATTAAAGATTAGGATTTTTGATGCCGTGAAAGTTAGAGGTGAGGCTACGTAGGAAGAAGGCATCGGGGGGGAGTCGAAAAAGCATACCTAGAGCTTTGAGGATCTGTTCACGCTTATTTTTGAAATGCCTGTGCTGTCGGTTTGGTGTATCATAAGGAGTAGTGCGGGTGGGTATTCGCGGCATGATGTGAAAGAAAGTATGAAAGCTCAATGGATCTGTCGACTACCTCTCAATCGGATTGTCGCCGGTATAATCAAAAACGGTCGACCTATCTGCTGATTTAATCTAGTGTGGTATATCTGTTTTGGTTTGATCAGGTCCTCAATAACGAGGTGAGTCTTCAAGGAAAACCCAGACTTCGAGGACTTGAGCTGATAATCAGAAATGATAAGCTCAGGCAGTGATGAAGCGTGATAGACGGAACAGCTCATCATCTTCAAGCTCACAAGAATGGGTGTGTTGAAAAAGGGAGGAAGGGACGCGTCTGGCGCTAACCTTTGAAGACTTGTGATCGATCATGTCCTACAAAAGGCCCTGCGCCTGACTTTAGTGACAAATGATCGATCACTTTTTTGGACTTGATGAAGATAACTCATCATGGCAGTAGAAATTACTCAACCATGCGCCAGATGAAGGAGACGTGACCGACATTTCCTACCACGAGGCGGCAAGTATGGAGTTTCCCGCTTGGCTGGGCCTTGTCCTCCTGGTATCAACGCGAATCGCTCCAAGAGCTGAAAGGGTCACAAAAACTCGTTACTCATTCTTGTCTACGAATACTCCCGCAACATGTTGTATCGCAAGAATGACTTTCATTGAATCGCCATCTATGGGATTTTAAGTATCAACAAGTGATATGCATGTACATGGACCGTTCCATCATGATGACTCTAAGCCCAGTGTAGTCTGGTCTAGCTTTTTCTCTAGCTCGACCTGTTGAACATACACACTCTCCGCCCTTGCACATCGACAACGAAGGGTTGAAATGAAGTCTTGATATACATACAAGAAAACATTCCCGAGGTCCAGAGCTGTATTGATGACGTGCGCCACTCCACATGCCCGATCTCAAGGCTACTGGCATCTCTGATTTGCTCAGTTTTCATTCCTGCTCATGGCATGGAAGGAACACGGTGCTCATCACCGCGCGTGCGATATGCTACGGAGACGTTGGTCAAAACTTGAAATCCACTTGCATTTTGCAGAGAAAGTCACAGACAAGTATGTCGTATGTAGCTACCCCTCGAACCTTGCCATTCACACTCAATAGATAGCTTCATTGCAGGGCGCTGGTTTGTAGACGCAGGTTTGAATGCTGATTTATTATTTTTCCGTCCAACAATACCTGTTGAAACAATCGTTACAAAGACCCTCCCTGGCTACACCGAGCCTTCCTCGAGCCCGGTCTACAATTGCACATGACAGGCAAGCAGGCCACAGGGGATCCTTGAACTGTCCTTTGGTTAAAGCACTTCTCGAAGGAAATCCTCTTGTTCCCACATCAGTCGACTCCTTCATCATGGCCTGAGTCTGGTTAAGCGGAAACTGGAAAGATACGTTTCGCGCCATCAGGAAACAGTATATGTGATCAAAAACTGACATGCATGTATAAGTATCAATATCTGCCGAAACACTCAACTGTAAGTTGTAAGGTGGTTCTGTTGGAGATTGGTGTAGACCCATCAATGGGGGCTGAGTTGGCAATCCAAATCAGCAGAGGAGCATCGAATTCTTCGCATCCAAAGAATGTCGGTCGCTCGACGAGGCCCTGTGTGGTGAACTTCGTGACGTTCATAGGAACTTTTGGGAATTTGTATACACTGGGATATAGCGCTGCTCTACGAGCTGAATGAATCACTGAGCTCCCATTGGCAAAGTTGTTAAAGTCCGCTGTCTGGTATGACAAAATCAAACGGTTGGTTTTGCTATCTTGACTTGAAACCTCTGCGATTCTCATGAAGTCCAGTTTACTTACACCATCCACTGCAATGATCACTTCTACTTTCCTAGCCCTTACTAACAAGGGATGATACGGTGTCACCTCTGGTATAGGTCGTTGAGCTCTCCGTAAGCTTCCATGCGAAACAAGTAGGCAGATCATGATGAAGGTAAATTTGGGGCACAAACCTAGTCCAAGTCCCCCATCAATCAAGTGCAATTCTGCCTCGTCCTTCTCAAAATATTCTTTTGTACCGAGTCCTCGGAATGGATTAGGGACAAGTGCGGTGAGAATTTCAGGCGTACCGATAGGTAAATTGCGTCTCAAGTTGAAGTAGAAGTCGAGGAGGTATTTATAGGCGGTGAAGATATTTGATGACATCCCCATAATGAACCCTGAAAAGAGCAAAGGATGGTCAAAACTCTGAATACATCTTATTTCTGCTTGTAAGGTTGGGCGGAATGCAAAGGTGATTTCGACCTATAAGACATGCTATGTGATGATTTACCTGCATTGTCAAAACCCGCGCAGCATTTGCTTTTGTCCTCAGGGAGTCCAGCTGAAAGTTTGGTACCCAAGTTTTTAGTGGGTATAAAACTTGATAGAAACGGATCATAGCTCCCGAACTCGTAGGGCGAAATCTCATATCTAGTGTAATTGTAAGGCACCGCTGGGAAATTGGCGTACCGACTATCTTGCAACTGAGGAAGGGTTGTTAGAACAGGAAAAGGTAGGGTATGATTCTTGAAGCATGTCCTAGTGGCATATTGATCCCAGAATGCATCAGCTGAACTTCACGAATCGAGTAAATGGAAAATAGTGCATACAAATTGACAAAGCCTGAAAATGTTTGATTGATACCATGAGGTGCCGTTCCATTGAAAAAGTTGTCGGGATTAGAACCACTCAAAAAATGGTAACTTAAGATTCTTCCCCACAAGTCGACAATTCCGATGGGGAATCCAGCAAATCTCTTGCTATTGACTTGAAGAATGAGTCTAGTCCAATAAACGGTCTGTAGCCAACGATTATGCATTCTCTCTGCAAATGTGTTACTCTCCAATGCGTCTGTTGGCTAAATTCTCAAAGCGAAAGAAAATACTCAGTCTGTTAGGTTCGGAACACTCAATGATCCCTCTGGAATCTATTGCTGCTCACATTCAACAATCCGTATTGAGTGAGCCAACCTGATAACTCTGGATTTTCTCTCCCCATGCGCTTAGCTCCCAGAACAAGGTCAAAAAGGGGTGAGAGTTCGGATTGCATCCAGGAGATCAGCAACCAAGCGCTGCCACTGAGACCGGTAATATAGTCCGCGGCGTTCAGAACTCCCTTTTATCGTATGCAAGTCATTTCAGCACAATTCACCTATCATACGACAACAATGAGGTGCACTCACGCCCAACCCTGAACTGGCGGAAGTCACGTTCTTTCCGTCAAAGACATTCATGACTGCTGCCGCAAAAATGGCTCCTGCGGCGAATTCACATCTGTTAGTTTTCCTCTGATCACCTTTTGTAGAAAGAAGTAAAACCACTCACCGCGGTAGGCACCTCCAGCTATTGCAAACGACATTCTGGGAAGAGCTGTCTGATTCTTTGATGAGAGAATTCTCGAGACGTATGAGGGAAGTACTGTACCCGGCTCTCTGAGCCCTGATACGTATCTCTCTACGTTGGTGATGTAGGAATTGTAAGCCTCCGGTAAGACTTGTGACCGACGCGCATCAATGTAGTTTACTTCCTCCGGTGCCAGCTCCTGGGTTTTCGAGTCTCGTGAACTGGCTGTACGAGCTTTGAAATCTTTTGGACACGGCACCAATTTGGGAGCATAATCTGCAGAAGGGTTATACGTCTCTCTACATAGCGTTATGTGAAAGAGCGTAAAGATCGAAAATGAATAAATCCAGAGCTCCCGAAAACGCATAATACTGAAAATATCTTGAAGCGAAAAGTAGACACGAAGAAGACTTCTAGAAAATACTGCGTGCTGAGTTCTTCAACTTATCAAGAAGCGGTGCAAGAAATAAGTTCAGAGAACGAAAGGGGTTGCACTCTGTTGCCTATTTCATTGGGGCCAATGGCTATGGGGCTCCTAAATAGATATTGTAAGTAGCCGAAGAGCAAGATAAACCGCCGGCAGGTTTATGTGGAGGAATGTATCATTCTGAAATAGATGGAGATACATTAAGCAAGATGAATGACATATCTTCATGCTCCTGAATTCAAAGCTAACATTCATCGTAGCATAAATGGAAATGATGTTGTGTCCGATCGCAATTCAGAGCACTGATAGCTTCAAATGCAAAGGACGTTAAGGTTGAACCGTCTCTTTACAACCGCCGCCATCACATGCAATGTTGCGATTCCGTAACTTCCCCTTCTGAGAATAAACAGCGTATCCTACACATATAAATCAGGTGTTCTGTAGATAGCTCATTTGTTTCTTCCACGCCGCTTCTCTACCGGCACTTTTTGAAGATATATGTGACGAGAGCTACGCAAGAATTCCAGATATCAAGGCATTTTCTCAGGAGCTCAGCCCCCAAAGGATTCGCCGATGCGCGCTCGCATAGGCCCGTTCTGCGCCAGTGCCCAGTGTGAAGGTGTCGGCCACGGACCCGATAAATCCAAGTCTTTCATGTTGCCAGAAATTTTTTTGAATTAAACCTCGAGTGGCTACCATCAGAGCTTTGTATATATACCTTGATCCCGATCCCTCGAGGAGTTGGCTACTAATTCCTGGGAGTTGTGCACACGAAAGGGAACTAACTCTTGCTACCCCCTTTGAAGAGCTCAAAATAAGAATCATAGCATGATATGGGGACTTGGTCATGAGGGCCATCCTGGCCGCACTACTAGGTGTCTGTCAAGCTATCAAGAAACAAAGCTCTCTTCAATGCTCATCAGAATCCCTGACAAGACAACCTTTGAAATTGCCATTATCTTACAGTGTTAATTTTTATAAGGTTGACTTCCAAAAACATACATGGTATTGGGTAAGAATTGGATCCTATGAGACAAGCCAAGAACAACACTTCAAGACTAGATGTAGATTGTCAAATTATGTAGCTCTATGATGGAAGGCTCTTTGTCAGTCATTAGGAAAAATGCATACAAATATTCTCTTGCTCACTAATCACATAATGAATAGAAACACATTTTAACACTGAGGCCATGCTTCAGGAACACAGTTGCCATTTCAAAAACCCCCAAACTCCATAATGAACATGTTTCTTCTTCAAAAAGGCATCTCAAATTAAAAATTGATAGACGCTTCCAGAAACACACTCTGTGGACAAGAAGATTGGAAAATGCTGTTAAACAGATTCAATGCTTTTGAAGCCTAAGATGATGTGTACATGCGGATAGAAACTCTGAAAATCAAGAGTATAATGGTTTGTGGTAGGCATGGTGTGGCATTAGATAAGACAGTCCTTATTGACGTGTATGCTTCAAGTTCTTTTGGTGATGTATGTGGTAAGAACCTGGTAAACTCGACAATTGATCACCAGTTGCTGTCTCAAAGACAGCAGGGGAAATTAACCCAGCCAACTTACCACACCACTGCTGGTACTCTTGAAGCACCGAGGCAATATGTGGCTTGCAGTGCATTTTTTTCACTTGTTATTGATCAACTTCATGCAGCATGAAATGCCCTTTTGAATGTTAGGGATGTTGTATGTAGGTGCTAATTATGGTAGTTCCCGTGGTAGGAACTTGATCAATTTAACAATTCCAAAGATGATTACCACAGGAAAACTCGCTGCAACCACTGCATTAGTGCTGGTGTTCTTACATGACCAAATTCTTGGCAGGAATCCAGCTTCATCCAGTAAGCTTGGCAATGATAGGGCTTAGTATTGTTGCAGATGCTTCACCAGTTACTTACCGATATCACAGGATATCACACCCTGCTGTTGTCGCGACATTTGTGGCAAATATCGGCTTCTTGTGATCTGCCTCACATGTGGTAGCCAGGCTAAGCTGCGAGATAGAGGGACTTTGAAAATGAGAGGTCATAATTAGAAGGGGCAATCTGGTGTGAATTGAGGTTCATGAGAAGGAAACCGAAAAGAAAGTCTCATTTTGAAGGGACATTTATAAATTAGCCTTCACAAGTTCTGAGCGGGGTGAAAGAGGATGACCTCCTCGTGGAACATGAATCTCAAAAAAACTTGCATGCTGCAATGTTGATCACTGGCCAATAATGTCACAGAATACACTCAGGTAGATCAGTTGACTAGGATATCAAACGGAGATCAGGGGACAGGCAATAGGCATTCATGGGGTCGCGAGGAGCACTTCGTGGGTTTTGGTCGAATATAGGTATAATTGGAGGCTCAGGGGCAGGTCGATGATCAGAAGGCACGGGCATGATTACAGAGGTGACGGACGCCATAGAAAGTTGACAGGAACATATTGAACACAAGGTCGAGTTTGGTTGACGATTCTTGTAGGAAGTGAAGAGTTACTGAGGCCATTGAAAAGCATAAGAGTGACATTGACAAATTTATTCCTCGGACCTGAGTTTAGCAGCACCATTGGTAACTTTGAGACCTAAAATCTTTGCCTTTTCAACAATCAAAACACGCTTTCGGGCTGAAACAGTGTGGGCGATCTCGGCAGCATATTTCTTGTTGTGCATCAATAGGAGGTCGAGTTCATCAGCGTTGTTGACCACAAATTTTCGGTAACCGTTAGGCATCAGGTGACGGGTCTTCTTGTTTGATCCATAACCGATTGAGGGCATAGGAAGTTGACCTTTAAAACGTCGTCGAACTCGATTGTCGATACCTTTGGGTTTTCGCCATGCTGGCTTTACAGAGGCGTAACGGTCCGACTGATGCCGACTGAAGAAATAAAAAATGAGATGGTATTGTGAGTTAAGGCGACCAATCCAGATGATAAGAATTTTCGACGTACATGAATGGCTTCGTGCGCTTCTTGACAATCGGAATTTTGGAGCCCATTGTTGAGATTGAGGACCTGCGTAAGGTAATATTGAATTCAGACTTCAGTCAGCAATCGATCGTAGTACTTGTGAAAGTCAACAGAGTGATCAAGGAACGCACTATCTTGACTGGGGTTACGATACCTTACCTACGACGCAGTGTTCACGCTTTCGAAAGGGGCAGTCTGAATTCACTCCCGCGCCAGAGGTCCTGAAACCTATTAGTGTGAGATGTTGTGACCAGCAAACCTATCAGTTGATTAGGGTTTAGAAAATTCACTGTATGGAGTAGCACCCGCAGCCGCGCAACCATCGCTTCAGATGCACCAAGACTTCCAGAAAGACCACTTCGGCAACGAGGTCAACGCGCATCTGACCTGAGCCGACCTCACCTCACCTTCTTTTCCAATCAATCAATCGGGATCGCTTGATTTGGACTCAAACAAGTCGATCAAACGTTCACGCCGTACTTGTTTATCGAAAATGTCATCAGCTCAGCATACAATTCGTCAGAATAATGTCAACTTGCTCTGGCCCATGTTAGAATTCTAGGAAAGAGGCCTTCTCCTTATCATTCACAAACCGTTTTCGTCGCTGGTATAGAGTGACCAAAGTGGAATTCTCGAATGACTGCCCTGCGATGGTATGCTGAACAGCTAAAAAATCGCAGAGCATATTGTACATGGTTCAGAAAACCTTCATCGATGTGCCAATCATGCAAATATACAATCAAGTCATCAAAGGTGACCTTCATACGCGAGGCCTTATGTACTTGCGGCCCGATGATATGTACATACTTGTGTCTTGAAGCTCCCATTTTGCGGTGAGAAACTTTGGGCGAATGTGTTTGTGGAATTGTTGGGTCCAATGATTGAAAATTGTGGAAAGGAAAACGAGGTAACCAAGATCTGCTTCAAATTGATCATCTTGGCTCTCTCTAAAGATAGGATGAAACGAATTTTCATCCTTCTCGCGCAGGACAGTGTCAAGTGCCTCTGAGTGCGAAGAGGGTACATCTAGAATGATGATCAGACATGACAAGTTTCTGCTTGTCGTACTTCACGCTTCTTACAACAAAATTGTATACAAATTGGTTAAGAACATCATTTCTTGATCCAGAAGGCTAATGCATCAACCGCCGGATAACTCCAGTGGAACTTACAGGTAAGAAACCAGGAAGATTGGGCTGATAATTTCAAAACTGTTTTGGAAGGGGCATTAAGACCTTCCTCCCTTACATCCAAAATTGGGTCTCGAAAGCCATAAAAAAATGCTGCATGTCAGCTCCCTAACATCACAAGTTCTTATACATATAGGCTCGTTTCAGCCTACAAACAATTGTTTGTTTTTTCTGACAGATCACCGGAAAACTAGCTAGATGAGTGACTATGAGCCGTAAGATGAGAACTGAACAGATTGTATTACTCTTTCAGAAGGAAACCTAAGCTTGAAGCAAGACAAAGTTGATAAACGAATACGAACATTTTGTTCGACATCTTTGATTGGGACTCGATTTTGAGTGGTTTGGTAACTTTACCGAAAATATGGGAGCCAAATCATCTTTCATTCCAGGGAAGCTATCCAGGGGCTCAATATGTTGAAGATACTAAGCCTTACGAATACCCTTTAATTAGTTGGCCACTACAAAAGGTCGTTATGGTACTTTTAATTTCAAAATCCTTAATCTCAGTTAATTCCCCCACATCTCTTCAAGCCTATTTCGCTCACGATTTTAGAATGGTAGTATAGTATACGCTCTATGTTGGCCGATAAGGCACTCGCAACGATATCTCATGGCGGTCTCGGCAAGTTTGGAAATCCCGGCCTAGCTGAGTTGCGCGAGTTTTCAACATTTTGCCTGGCTGCCATGGAGTAGGTGAAGTGATGACTCATTGGGCTCAGATGCCATGCCATCATAAGGAGAGATTTTGAAACCAGGCTAGCCTTGAATGAATAACTGACGATTTCGAAATTTTCTATAGTCTCCAAAACGATATAAAATCATGACTCTTGCTCGCACTTCCTATCTTTTTTCCTCATCCTCAATCACATCTTCATATCCCACTGTTTTATATCACTTCAGCTTTTTTTGTTCATTATCTAGTCTTTTGATTGTATCATAAGCTTTTCATAGTAAATATATCAATTTCAATTAACCCATTATCTTCTTCGTACATATTTCCAAGTTTCAAAGTCTTGTTACAATAATCTTCCCTTTACATTAAATTTACTTTAGTCTTTTTATCATCTCATTTTTTCATCAACATGCGTTTTTCGATGACCGTCAGTTTTGCTAGTTTGGCTATTGGATTGGCTATGAGTCAACATGTCGAGAACAACGCAGCAGAACATGCCACTTTGATGACGTAAGTCTACCTTTCGAATCTTACCAACATCTTCCAAAAACTAACAAAGCCCGACATTATTTTTAACGCGTTCAGCCGTCAAACCAAGCCTGGTGGTGGTGGTGGTTCTGGTTCTGGTTCCGGTACAGGAACTCCTCCCTCTGGCAATCCTAGTCCTACTCCCGAACAGTGCCAGGCGATCCTCAAAAGGATTGAAGCCAAGAACGCAGGAAAACGTCGTGACTTGGCTGATATCGAAAGAGACATGTAAGTCCTTTATCATTCTCCAAAGCTCGAGCTTCAAATCTCTCGAAAGACTTACTGACAGCCTTTTCAACAGGTTGACTCGTCGTCAGGGTGGAGCAGCAGGAGGAGCCACAGCAACTCAAGCCGATTGTGACAAATTGAAGGCTTTAGCTGAAAAGGCGAGGGGTGGCGGTGGTGCTGGCGGTGGTGGTCCCCCAGCAGGTGGTGGTGGTGGTGGTAAACCCAAACCCGGACGTCGAGACGTGATTGAAACCCCTGACAAGTAAGATCCAATCACTCCAAACCTCCCACATCTTCTGCAGAGCAACGCCTGACTCATCACATCCTCTTTCCTCATAGCTTGACACGTCGTCAAAGTGGTGATGGGCCAAAGCCCCCTATCAAGCCCCCGACCACCGGTAAGACCAGTCGTCGTGCCAAGATTGAAAACGCGCCTTCGTAAGACTCCATTATACCATCATCAGCAGCAGAATCTTTCTTTGACTAATGAAATCGTTGTTTGCCCTTGCAGCGTGGAACGTCGACAAAGCACAGGGCTTCCTCCTCCCACTCCTGAGCAGTGCACTGCCATCCTCCAAAAGATCGAAGCAGCCAAGAGTGCAGGCAAACGTCGTGATCTATCTGAAAGTGAAACAGAGATGTAAGTCCATCAACATTCTTCAACGCTGACACAACCTCGCGAAGATCTACTGACAGTTTTCTCAACAGGTTGTTTCGTCGCGACGCTGGAGGAGCCACTTCCACATCAGCCGATTGCGATAAATTGAAAGCTTTAGGTGAAAAGGCTAGGAGTGCAATGGGTGGTTCTGGTGGCGGTGCTGGCGGTGCTGGTGGTGGTGGTGCTGGCGGTAAACCCAAACCCTCCCGTCGAGACGTGATCGAAGTATTTGACCAGTAAGAAACAATCACTCAAAACTTCCCACAACTTCTGCAGAGCAATGCCCGACTCATCACATCCTCTTTCCGCATAGCTTGTCACGTCGTCAAAGTGGTGATGTTTCTCCAAAGCCCTCTTCGAAACCCTCGACCACCAGCAAGGCTAGCCGTCGTGCCGAGATTCCAAACGCGCCTTCGTAAGACTCCATTATACCATCATCTGCAGAATCTTTCTTTGACTAATTTGTTGTTTGCCCTTGCAGCGTGGAACGTCGACAAAACACAGGGCTTCCTCCTCCCACTCCTGAGCAGTGCACTGCCATCCTCCAAAAGATCGAAGCAGCCAAGGGTGCAGGCAAACGTCGTGATCTATCTGAGATTGAAGCAGATATGTAAGTCCATGAACATTCTTCAAAGTTGACATTTCGAACCTCGCGAAGACCTACTGACAGCTTCCTCAACAGGTTGTTTCGTCGTGACACTACAGGAGCCGCTCCCACATCAGCTGATTGCGCAAAATTGAAAGCTTTAGGTGAGAAGGCCAGGAGTTCAGCAGGTGCTGGTGCTGGTGGTGCTGCTGGTGGTGCTGGTGCTGGTGCTGGTGGTGGTAAACCCAAACCCTCTCGTCGAGACGTGATCGAGGTATCTGACCAGTAAGATCCAATCCATAATTTCAAACCATCTCACATCTTCTGCAGAGCAAAGCCTAACTCATCACATTATCTTTCCTTCATAGCTTGACACGTCGTCAAAACCGTGATGGTTCTCCAAAGCCTTCTTCGGAATCGAAGCCCTCGACTACCAGTAAACCTAGCCGTCGTTCCGATATTGCAAATGAGCATTCGTAAGCTCCTATGATACCATCATCTGCAGACCTTCATTTTCACTAATGTCATCGACGTTTGACCTTGCAGTGTCGTACGCCGACAAAGCTCTGGTGCTTCTTCCAAACCTGCGACTCCCAGTCCTGCAACCCCAAAGCCTTCGCCTTCTGCCACTGCCAAGGCATCCACTTGAGCAACTTCTACTCGTCGTTCTGACACTGCATGCGACCACTTGTACGCTTTAGTTCCATCATCTGAAAGTCTCGCACTAGATTTTTTTCATCACTCTTCGCCTTGTAACATGCTTTTATGCTCTTGATCTGTTTGTTCATTAGCCATAGCATTATTCCCCATTTGTATATAATCCCCATCTTATTATTCAATATGATTGTAATCTAAATAAAATCACATTGACCCTTCACACTTGATTTTTGAATCACATCCAGACGTTTCATCCCCCCCAAAAAAAACATAATATGAATGAGCCACACACACAAATGTCATCAAAAATTTCGCTGCATTATTCCCCATTCCTATAACCTAATATGATTGTAATATAAATCAAATCATATTGACTTCCTACCTCTGACTTTTTTCTTGAAATTCAGAAGTTCCATTCTCCCCAAAAGAACCATGAGACGATTGAGCCACTGACACAATGTCTTCAAAAATTCCGCTGCGTTATTCCCCATCCTATTATCTAACATGATTGTAATTCAAATCAAATCATATTGACTTCCTAACTTTGACTTTTTTCACAAACTTCAGAAGTTCCAAAGAAGTCATGAGATTATTGAGCCATGCTCAAGTACCGTCAAAAACTCAACGTTGATTGATAAAGGCAGCTCGCATGAATCTCTCTCTTCAGGAATATTTATTGGTTTGTTTTAGTAAATTAGATTCCTCAACGCTACAACCCAAAAATAAACTCTTGTTTACAAACCAATACAAAAATATCATAAAACCCAAAATGAATCAAATACCGTTTTTAAAAGTAACATATCAACTCAAAGTCCATATCTAAAAACCAAACAATCTTTACAAACCAATCAAAAACAAATGTATACAATCAAACCAAGAAAAAAGTTTCAAAAAATCAAGCTTGATAAGAAATCATATGTAAAGTTCCGATTGTATCATTTTGAATAACCATCGAAACGGAAGCCAAGACCGAAAGACTATGAATAAAGCACAAACAAGAAAGATCATAAGACCTCAAAGACTTCCAAACCTGTTGAAAACACAACCGATTTCCCGTCCCAATCTGTCCTTCAAACCGTCCCATAAACTCGTCTAATCCATTCCAAAGTTTACAAAACGAAACTTTAAACAAATTTAAATTAGTAGCTAACGAATCTAATGCAATACAAAGATATGATTGAGCATCTAGTAAGATTGAAACTTGAGTTGATCTTTGGTCTGATTCGTGGTCACTTTGGTTTAGCTCGTCTTCTGGTCCTTGTGATAATTCGGCTAAGATTGGGGTTAAGAAGCCGTCGATCCAGTCGTATAGATCGTTTATGTGTTTGGATAGATCGCTCAGGTTTTCTTTGATGATGGATATCGAATCGTTTAATTTCATCAATTTGTTTAAATAACTATTCACACCAAAAAAACAAAAGAAATCGTCAGAAATCTGATGTGGTGTATTCTACTCCAAAGTGAGGTAGTACTTACAGTAAATTTGAGTCTGGATCATCAAAAGACTGATGATCGACTTGAAGGGTCTTAAACTCTTTCTGAAGAGCCATCAAAGGTTTCACACACTGATTCCAAACCGGTTCAAGCACCATCACAGTTCTCAAAAGACACTGATCAAGAACCGAACTAGCCTTCCAAACCGGTTCATCTACTCTTGAACCATTTTCCCATTCATTTAATTGAGCTCTATATCTACACAAGGTTTGAGCAATCACCGGTGCAAGAGTGATGATCGAATCAGAAACAATCTTGATACTTTCATTCGAAAGGATCGGTAGGTCTTCGGTTTCTGATGAACTCTGGCTTGGGATTTCAAATAATACACTCGAATCTGGTGACGGTTCTCTTAAGGATGTTGTACTGTTTGATGCAAAATTCATCGCTTCATCTTCTTCTTCTTCTTGTTGATCAGATATCGTTTGATGATCTTCAATAGATTCTTCTAATTCTATCTCAGAATAAGTTTGGTATTCGGTTTCTTTCATCAAGAAGGAATTCATCATGGGGCTGGGTTTGATGAATTGGAATTGGAGAAGAAAGTGTATTGATAGGTGAAGGTGTTGTGATAGGTGATGAAGAAGAATCGAATGAAAAGATTTGGGTTTGGTGCGGTTTATGACCATCATATGGATTCTTGGTGATTAGTTTAGATTGATTGAATTTGTTTAGATTTGGAAGAGTTTGAGATGGTTTGGTAAGAGTGAACATCTTTGATTTAGTATAAGACAAGCTTGTGATGATGAGATGATGTGGAGAACTGGTTGAGAATGATGATTGGAATGGGAATATGGGAATGTGGTAAGGACACGAGTGAGAGTCATGATGATGTTATATTGGATTGATTGATTCCTTTTAATTGGTTCTAGTCACTGTTGACTGATCAAGATTCGAAAAACAAAATCAAGAAGCTAATCAAGAAGTTCATCAAGAAGCTAATCAAGAACTAAGTATATCTTAAGATTAAGTATCGATATCTTAAGATTAAGTATCAATATCTTAACATTAAGTACTCATATCTTAAGCTAATCAATCATATCTTAAGTAAACCTTACCAATCGAACAACAAATTGATCGTCAAAAGAAATCTGGTCATCACAATTTGTAACCAAACTTTAACTTGACAAACATTTCCTCCAGTTCAGCAATCAGAATTGTAGCATCACTTGAGAATGAAATTACCCAAAACACTCATTCAGAGTGGAATTTTTGAGCAGAAGAATGCGACCACAAATAAAAGATGTCAAACCATTCAGCTCCATCAATCCAAGCATTAGATTCCAAAACCAGTTCATTAATCAAATCAAGTTTATCAATCCTATCCCTAAAGAATCTATTAGAATCGTTACTTCAAATCTCATTAAAATCTAAACCTACTCTTATTAGTTGTTCATTAAATCTTTCGTCTAAGTATTTGAGAATAGATGATGATGGGATCGGATTCAATAAACCATCAATCTATGAAATCTTATCCAACAATGAATCACTACCGAATTCAAGAAAGATGAATGATGATGACTTGGGGTATCGGCTTGAGGGTTTAGAACTTCAGCTTTTTAGGTCTTTGGTTTGTTTGGCTTCGGTTGAGATTTGTTCAAGAACTGAAGATTCGGATGAAACTTATCAAATTATCTTTCAAGTACATATTCAATCTAATCATTCTACTTGGTTTCTTCATCTAAACTCATTTTTCTGTGTGGATTCAAACTTTATAGGATGGTATACGAGTCTTTTCAGGTCCTGCTAAAACTTCTCGCAGACATAAAACAGGCAGTACATTGACTATCCGTAACTTATTCCATAATGTAAGTCATAACGTTGAAGCTTTCTCAACCACTTGATAATGATTTGATGTTTAGATAATCTCTTGATGTTGTTTTTAGTTACCAGTGAGATCTAAACAATTAATCATAAACCATCAACAAGACTTTTTAGAATGCAAACGATCCCTTCAACTCTTGGCAATCCTTCATCCTAATGTGAACTTCAATTTACACAACTTAGAACACTCATTGCCGGGACAAAGTGATGGGTTGGTTGAGCATGAGTTTAAAGAATCTGGTGTATTGATTCAAAAGGTATGATGATGATTCTTTTTATACGATCAGATCAGAGCTTGATTTGGTTTGTTACAGACTCATGATTCGATCATTACGTTTGGTAAAATCTTGGGTCCATCTTTGATTAAGGTAAACGTTTTTGATTTGCGTTTGATGATCTACCTATAACTTATCATGGTCATTAACAAGACCTGGTTGTTTGGTCGTGGTCAACTCACAGGACGCATATATTATTGAAAACTACGAATTTGACAATTACATCGTTGAAGGGTTTTTATGTAAAGAGACACATTTAAATAAATCTGGACAATTGATTTGTGAGCTACGTTTCACTTGATTGTGAAGCCCCCTTAAATCGATTTAGCTATCATGATTCTTTAAAAGATTCACTGATTCAAAAAACATGACTTTTATTGTTCTTTGGGGGGGAGGAATTAGTTCTGGATGGTAAATTAATACCTAGTACGAGTTTAATTTATCAAAGATTATCAAAATCGATGAGTTTCTCAAACGTAAGGATCTCTTTAACCATGACTCATGATTTAGTACGAAGTTTAAACTCATCAAATGATATTTCCCAACCTCTAGAACCTTGGCAATCCTTCCAGTTCACATAAATCTATGAAAAAGTCTTCAAGTTCTTTTAGACGATTCGAAAGATATCCAATATGGTTATTGATTTTGATTTCTCAGGATCAACTTTTGGGATCTCATCTTGGACTTTTACATACCGATCTTTCATCTAGAACTGAAGAACGTTTATCAAAGCTTGGTGAAAAGTTGTGTCATGAATATCTTGATCGAAAAGATGAGATTTCGAAACCTAGTTTACTAGAAGATTGTAACAGGGTATCTCAGAGAACGTTTGAAGATCCGGTAAGAGAAAGGTTGGGCTTTGAAAGGGATGGTAATGAAAGCACGAGAAAGAGGTCAGGATCAGAGAAAGGATCGTCTTCCAAAAAGAAATTACGAAGTTTGACTTCTGATCAGGATCCTCAACGATCACCTCTTACTTTCGAAAAAGGTCTAATGGATCGATTCAAATATTCTAAAAAACAAAGCATTCTTGATCATCAAAAAGAAGATTTGTCTACTAAGGGTGAAACTCGAATAGAATATCCTCGTGTATCTGTGAAACGAATCGGATCTAATGACAAAGAGAATAGAGAAGAAGAAGAAGGTTCAAGACGTCCTGAATGGATCACTCGTAGTTTAAGCGATTATCGTAATCCGGTTTTCGGCCGTAAAGAAGCTTTGTCCAAAAAGATTTTCAAAGCAGATGAAATCAAAACTCTACCAACGAATACTAATAGTAAAGAAGATGAAAGAAAATCGGATTTGAAGCAAGAGTCAAGCAAGATTTCATTTAAAGAGATGAACGAAACCCATCAAGATTGTAAAACGACTATCGATTTGAAATGGTTAAAGGACTCGAAACGGTTTAAATTGATTGGACAAGCTGATCGAAAGTTGATTGTGGTGTATTTTAATGAGATTCAAACGATTGTTGTTTTTGATCAACATGCCGTTGATGAAAGGATTCGAGTTGAAAAGTTTTTGAAACAGATTATTCTTCCTGAATTATTGGTGGTGAAGAAAATAGGGAAAAAGGGTCAGGATGAGATTGAAGGTGTTCGGCTTAGGGTTAGTGAAGTTGAACTTGAAGGGTTTAAGAGATGGAAAATAAGGTTTAAGAGGTATGGATTTGATTATGAGATTAGGAGGAAAGAAAAAGAAGATGAAGAAGAGGTTTGGGTGATTGGATTGGCTGAAGTGGTGTTTAAAAGGTTAAAGAAAGATGGGTTTTTTGGGTTGGGTGAAGTGATGAGAATGTGTTTATCATTCTTTGAGAGTCATCAAGAAGAAAAAGAAAAGAAAGTTGGAAGGCAAAAGGATTGGATGAATGGAATGAAATTCTTGCCGGGTGTTTTGATTGAAATTATTAATTCTAAGGCTTGTAGAGGTAAGATCTTTTTGAAGCATATTTGTTTGTACACTGCAAACCAACTTGAGCTTTTTGGTGAGTTTGATTGATTAATATATATAGGATCGATTATGTTTGGAGATCAATTAAATCATGAAGAATGTCAAAGATTATTGGATGGATTATGGAAAACTGATGAACCGTTTTATTGTGCACATGGAAGAATGAATTGTAGACCGATTTTGAATTTCATGAACCCGAAAGAAATCCAAAAGAAGAAAAAAGTTGTCAAAGAGAAGGAGGAGGTTGTCAAAGAGAAGGAGGTTGTCAAAGAGAAGGAGGTTGTCAAAGAGAAGGAGGTTGTCAAAGAAGAAGAAGAAGATTATGATGAATATTTTCATGAGTTTTTGGTTGATAGGTTTAGCTTTGGTTTAGGTTTGGATTGGTTTATGATGAATAGTTTTTGATTGTGAGTTGGGTTTTTTGTTATGGAATTGTTTTGGATTTGATTTGATTTTGTAATTAGTATAAGATGTTTATTAGGTATAAATGATAATGAGATTTATCAGAGAGATAGATTTAGTGAATCATATTGTTGGTTGGGAAATGATTGGCAGATTGATAAGGTTGAATTTTGAGAGCTGAAGAACTTGGTTTGGAGTGGCCTTCATCAAAAAACGTATAAAGAGGGAGATCTTTGATCACTTGAAAGGTATTCTTTAAAACACTTCTTTTGGAAAGGTACATGGCTGATTTTATGTTGACTTTTTGGAATAGGAAATCAAGGTTTCATATCCAATGTTTGAAGGTCAAAACAAACTTGAGCGTTTCATGAGAGTTGGGATAGATAACAAGTTAAGGATTCCTTGTAGGGTTTGAGTTGTAGTGATTTGAAAAAAAATGGTTTGAAGGATGTTACCAAAAGAATTTGTTATGTAGGTGTTTTTTTATAAAAAAAACAAGGCTAGAGAATTTTGTTTTCATTTTTAAGTTATCACTATTGATGCTTATTTACTCACCAATCAAAGTAACAACAACAGGACTGGATGTATATAGGTCGGATTGAGGTTCAGGATTCGAATTTGAACTTGAAGTTGGATCTGAAATCATATAGAAAACTTTCTTTTTCAACTTCTTCAAGGCTCTTCATGGGTTGAAATTTTGAAAAAGTGTAAACTTTGGTAGTGTGTGTGTGATCAACAAGTATCAGCCTAACGTAGCGCCGATGATGTGAATCAAGCTGAGCCCGCACAGCATCAGCTTTGGATACTGCTTATACTTCTTCTTTTTTCTGAATCTGGTTTTGGTTTGGCATGACTTTTAATTGAAAACACTCGAGAATTGGGCCCCTGCTCGACAAAAAATTGGGGACAAACATCTTCAAAACTACACTGTATTTATTTTGCTTTGGAGACGCCATGATGAAAAGCCTTTGTAATTCTTCAAAAGGGCGAGAAGAAGCGATGTTAAGAATCCCGTGGGTCAAAGGCATGAAGACTGATAAAAACAAATTATCCTCTATTCTGCCTCTTTGGCTCTCCAAGTTCGTCACCTGATGTATCAAACTTAGAAAGGTCTGATGGGTTAGCAAGAATTAGTGAACGCAGCTTTACCAACCAATGATGTGAAAAGTGTAAAAACGTCGATGAAGGTAAGCTTGAATAGCCTCCTCGCTTGGCCGCGCTCGCGCCCTCGTGACCGATTGAGGTAAAATGTAAAAACGATACATACCGATCACCCCGGGGCCCGGAGTGAAGTGGGAGAGAGGAAGAGAGATCTGATGAACACCTGATTATTTCTCGATACGAACTTTCCTTGGCTATCTGCAATGTATATCTCGTCGTAGCATGCTAGATTATGTTTGAAGCCCTATGGCCAACTTGCGATCCTCAAAACAAATGTTCACCTGACTCTTCCCGATCGCCATCAAGACCTCATCTCTAGCGTGTTCTCAGAGATACCTCATGACTACAACCTTATTTCCCGACCATACCCCAATACCACCGACTGATGTCGCCTTCAAGTTGTTTATGCAATGACACGCCCCGATGAATTCCAACTATAAAATTCTCTTATCTGCTTTGATTTCTGCTGGGGAACTTTCAGAAGTTAACACTTTAAGCTCACCATCATCACCACAATATCGATTGACATTACTGCCATCTAATTTACCTCGTGGACGCGTGGCGTGAAACGTTTCAAGAATTATTGAAGTCATTTAACTCTTGTTCTATCAAATGGATGTCAATAACCAACAATCGCAGCTTGGGCATCGACGTTCGGAAGGAACAAACGCGTCAAGAGAAGATCAAAGTAACTCAACATTCGTACCACTACAGATTTCGCCAAGTGGAAGTGTGTTCATTGAACACGACTTTGATCCTAGACCCGTGCCCAATCGATCTACTTCGAATTATTTAGACCTTCCTCCACCTACCAGTACGATTGTGCCTGCGATCGTTGATACACTAAAACGTTATCGCAGGCAGATGGATGAATATATGCATAATAATTACTGTTATGCAGAGGTCGGAAATGCTAGGGTCTTGATCGAAGAATGTGTATTACGTCTGGAAGAGCTTTGTGAGCCAATTTGGGAGCAATGCATGCTACCACTTACTTCATTATCTAAAGAGTTCCGAGAATTCGAGATAGACATGAGAAATGGTTCTTTAAATATGAGTACTGAAAATGGATATGCAAAGTATGTTTCAAAGTCACCTGGGTTCATGAATTTAGGAATGAGCTGACTTCCCGCTTCTCTCAGCTCGTACGCGCGATTATCAGCAATGCGCGGATCGATTTGTCGTCTGGGACCTGCGCTTACAACTCTACACTTCAACTTCACTGGATTTTCTCGATGGATCCATGAGCGCATCACACCCGTATTATTGCAAGTTTTAGTAGCGGCGAATGATGAGAAAATAGTCCCTCAAAACAATCAATATCGTACTCAAATCAATAGCCTATTAGGATCTCCATCTTTTCTTTCTCAAGCGATGTCCAGTCTTACAACATGTTTGAAACTTTATGAAAAAATCTTCATCAAACTTTTAAAGAGTATTGATAAGATTCTATCACCTGATCTCTCTCAAGGTGCGGTTTATTACGATGAAAAGCAAATCATAAGCTGGGCGGGTGAATGTTTTGTAGCTTTTCACCCAATCTTTGATGGTTTACCGGATGTGGCTGGTATTTCGTCTGCACTATGGGAGCCACCGCCTCGTCGACATAACGCAATCAGGTAAATATGTGCCGGATCACAATTCTTCGATCAATTGATGTGCCAGGGGTGGAATGATGTGCGCACAGGAGATGGTATTGTTTCACATGATCTGAAGAAAATTCACCTCCTAAACATATAGATTGGAGAGCTACTATTTGTTATGTTGTTCATGTGATATTTTTGTTGTAGGTATTCTTAGTGCTACTCTATTGGTGAAAGGAGTTGAATACACGCTTTTGAATCTTTACAACTATTCCCAACATAACTTCACCAGGTGGGTATCCTCTGGCAAACACAAACACTCCAATTGTTATATACTCATGATGGGTGCATGACCAATGGATATACACTAATTCCTGAGGAAGTGTACAAGAATTGGACTTCATAGAGGCACCAAAGTCTTCATTGAATCTGGTGAGCTTCTTCATGCCAAACAAGATACCTGATGCTGCACACATTCCCAAGAAGCTTCATAAACTTATTTGTCAAGGGGTCCTGAATTTGGAGTGAAAGGTTATGTGTTATTGAAAAATAGGCTTCCTTCATCTCTGGCAGTTCAGATAAACCTACTGTTGATGACTACTAGGTTTTTCTATTCTTTGATTGCATATGAAGAAATCATTGTACCTGTTCACAGTACTCATATAAAGAACTCTCTCTTTTATCAAAATATGTATGCATATTTAGAGAAACACCACTTAGGTTGGGGAAATGGACGTTGAGTGAAGAGGTGAAAGAGCACACATAAATCCTGGTTATGAAAATAGACTCTATATGAGGAAGCGACTATGTTCTTATTCGATGAATGCTTTTATAGATTGTTGTGAGTAGAATTTGGCCTGAGGAAAATCTTATATGTATTGTGTATATTGACAAAGCCTCAGGGCAAGTGCATAAATTGTCTATTGATGGACTGAATCCAAAACAAATCACTCTTAGTATAGTAGGATTGTAAAAGATACAGTCAGATAAAAAAGTTAATTACCTGAATCCAAACAAAAATCAATCTTAGTATAAGATAAATGAAAAAGAAAACTTCTGACAAAATCTTATAGTAAGATTGTAAAGGATCAAGTCAGATGAGAAAGAAAAGAAATCATCCAGGACTGCAGCAGATTCAGGTTATAAAGTAGAAACAGAAAAACAATATTAAATGGTGTCATAAGCTATGATGAACTCATTGTACAAATTTGGAAATATTACATCTTGATAATGAAAGATGATAAATTCTTTATGTATACAACTTTTACAAGCAGACAAACAGAAACCCAATATCTATTGCAGTCCATTTTTAGAAAAGAAGAGCTGGGATGTAATAAGTTAATTGATGTGTAAATGTACTTTATATATAAATTTTATTTGCAGTTTGATTCTGCTGAGGTAACTTTCTGAGGAGTGGCAACATCAACACCTTTGGTTGTGAATGTACTACCATCTTGACAAGTGACTTTGATATCCGCTGTCTCCCCGATCCCACCATTACCAAGTTGCCCTGATCATATCACATGATTTTGTCAGTGAAGTGTGCATAAGGATGGATTATATTGCAAAAGCAGATCAAAGTACATTGACAAAATGTTTCATAGACTTACAGTAATTGCTATTTGATTGGAGCTTCATGACTGTCCAATTTTCTGTCCCTTGTTTTGTGATTTCTAATGACTTGATGGGAGTGCTACTTCCAGCAACTTGAATTGAGTTCCAGTACCCACTTGTCCCTTCCTTGTTGATAAATTTCATGGGTTCTGAAAACCCACAAGGCACAAAAGACCTGGAAAGAAACATTTTACAATACAACAGAAGATGTAGATTTTCCTTAGATCACTTTTGGAGAGGTGGACATCTCTACCTTTTCAAAAAAGTATTGAAAAGACAAACTCACCAGGTGATTTTGACAATACCAGGTGATTGATTTCCACTGACTTGTTTCCATAATGAATCATCAAGATCTAAAGCATCTTTCAAACACTGTTTTTTTGGAAAGCAGATTGAGAAAGGGAAATGTGGTCAAAGTTAATGAGTTGGATCACAGTAGGAAGTGCATGATGAATGACATCAAGTTAGAGAATTACACTTGGACATTGATCTCCAACAATTCCAGTGAATGTACCACCAGGGCCTGTGACTGAAATGCATGCTCCACAGGCAGCTGCATCTTTCCATTGGTTGCTTGCTATGGCAATATATCCTAAATCTTGTGGACGAGGCCACTGTTTATAAGCACAGCTTTTTTAATTTGGGTTGACATACAGTGGAGTGAAGACACAAAAAGATTAGCTATATGGGAATATCTCAGCTGGATAAGAACACTTTTGATTTCTATGAATAAATCTTACTTTCCAGTTTCCCAGTTTCCGTGCTGTCATCGGGAAAGATATGTAGACACACAAAAGTCAAATGAGTGTCAAAATAGTTGCATTTAGATAGGATGCAAATATTTTCACTCTTGTCAATTTCACATGATATATCAAAGTTACATACCCAATTTGTTCCCTGCGATTGAAACTGGGATGAAGTTGGAGCTGGGCGTTTTGGTAGACAATATTTTCGGCGTGCCAACTTTTTGCCACCATGAGATTTTGTTGTGTGAGCTGTATTTGCTGCTCTACCTGAGAGCGGAATAATACTTGAAGTAATCAAGAGAAACATCAAGAGAAAACAAAAGCTGGAATTCATCATGTTTCCAAGTGGTCAAGCTTCTTTATCTTAAATAATCGCACACAGTGCGTTATCTTAAAAAATAAAAATGATAAAAAATAGATACGTTTGGTTTCTACAAAGTCAGGAATTGGAAATTTGGGAGAGAACCCCAAACAGGACCTTTCTTTATGGCGCTGGACAGGACGAAAACGTTCAAGATCCATCGAAGCCTTTGAGATAATAATCGATATGTTTGAACGATAAAATACTTCATCACAGCGAGGTATAAAAATAGACTCGATGTTACTTGAATCAACATAACATACGTCATTTGGTTGACATTACATAGTGCACTTTCTACACTACGGGGGGCGGAACGAGAACTTCACGTGAGCAAGGGTGCTGGGTCACCCGCCGACATGGTCTTTATCTATCTTTGTCACCGCAGCATACGGAAGTAGCCCGACATCAGCAGAAATATTGTGTCGACCAATGGCAAAAGGGAGCATGATTGCTTTCAAGAGTTCTACAGCAGTGGGAAAATTTGTCGACGTCGTGCAAGGACATTTTAGCACTCCAAAATCGAGCAGACTTGTTAGTAGGTACTAGCACCGTGTTTCATAGAGTCTGAGACTCTATTCACTACATAGGGGTCATGGATTGATGCAGGTGCAATTGTATGCATCCCACTCACAAACAGACTATTACGAGCGAAAGATAAAGAGATGTGATTTTTCAAATGACTTCACATATGAGGTGACAGAGATATAGATTAATGTGCACAGGCAATAATGATTATTTAATAAAAAGTCTGTGCTAAAGAGTGCCACAGTACCCAAAGTTATCGGTCATCAACAACTTATCTGGGGATCAAACAGACAACGCCCAGAAAAAGATCATGAAGAACTTATAACCCTCGCAATCAATAGCACGATAAGTTGGAATTGAAAGTTTCTCTATTCTCTCGCAAGATGAGAAACAAACGTGATCATGTTTTCCTAGGTGATACGATCTAGTATCTTTTGTGTTGGTGGTTTTATTAACGAAATGGTTTCGTCCTTACTGATATGTATGCGCCTTCAAATATAACCTCTTGACTCTACTTTGATATTACTCCTCGGGATGAATTTTGATTCACGTGGATTAAGCATTTCAACCCGCTATATGCGATAGGTACCATCCTTATCCCCAGTTCTCTTCGCTCATTGCGCGTCACCACCATACCTACATAACGCCTAATCCACGATCTTCTCCTCAGTGTACAAACCCAATCCAATACAAGCAGCCTCCAACTCGCGATGTAGTTCAACAGAAGGTGGCTTCGGTGGCATCTTCGCCCATTCGTGCTTCCGTACATGCATAAGACTCAACAAGAGCACCGGTGACAAGGGTTCCTCGTCAAGCTGCTCCGATCGAGGTTGGAAGCGGCTCGACGCCTCGCCGCCGCCACGAGGAACTCTGTTGCGTTTGCTTTCGCCTCTTTTACCAACTGGCAACGATGTAACCTCCGACGACTACATACGTCAGATTGCGTCTGATTTTCCACACATATTTAAGAAAACGTCTCAGACCTCGAAAAGCTTTGCCCCTGTAGAGACCCAGATCACAGTTCGAGATGTACTCACTTCAATACTTACTGATTTTCATCTTTACCATCATCTTTACGTGCGAGGCCGCGAGTAGACAAGAGTGCTCAAGATTTTATGGACCAAATAAATACGGCGGAACTTGTAAGTGCTTTTCATTGACCCGCCTTAGAGGCTCATCATTTATAATTGTCCAGGAGATTCACGGAACATGTTCGTCAAACCCACCAGTTTGCCAGAACAGTGGCGGTGTAGTGTACGGCTGTAACCGGCCACCATCTTATCTTGTTACTTTGAATAATTGCGTCCCTTACCACCACAACGACATACACAAGCGGACTACTTACGCCAAACCATCTACCCAATACTGTCAAACAGCCGAAAGGTTTCGAGACGATCGTCGTGGAACTTGGTTCATCAGTACGTCAGCATTTCATTACCGCATCATCTCAAGTGATCACAAATTGAACATTCATCTTCATTCCTCTGTAGACTGTGGGATGGTGGTTTTGGATGAGCAAAAGAAAGGGATGAAACTCACAACAGCTTTCAAGTGTTCTGACTCTGGGACAATTCTCAAGGGTCAGTAGTCTCTTCAACTGGTGTCAATTCGTTTTCGAAGACTGACCTAGGATTTCCATACGCACACAGTTGTGGAAGGGTGCACTCCTACAGGATCAGATGGGGTGTATCAGTGAGTAGACCTCTTCGAAGCGAAACAGTTTGACTGAGCCCGTCACACAACTAACATTTTTTTTTCTTCACAGCGGTATTGATTACAATTTTCCTCAATGAGAAGAACGGCTCTATTTTATGTCAATCTATATTTCATATCTTGTTGTTGTTGATTTCTGATGTTGGTGTTTAGTCCACAATTCTTGATATTTGTTGTCTCATCCATTCTTTCAATATTTTTATATTTTTACATAAGAGAGCTGATTTTTTATCATCTTTACCTGGCGACTCAACTAGGATGAATATTGAGTCAGTTTGTGGGCGCGCTATTTTTTTTCTGGGCGCGCCGAGGCGCACCTCTGTAAAATAAAATGCCAAAAACTATGCAGGTTGGCAATTTCATCATTGTTGTGTAGTCAATATCACAGATGGCAGTTTCATCAATCAAAGGCAAAGAAAAATGGAGAGAATCAATACCTAAAGTATTGAAATCAAAGCAAGTACCCATCAAAACCCGAAATCATTGGTAATAAAAGGGAATCTATGGGTGAATCTTTGGGAGGAAAAACTCTGGCCTCCAGTTTTTCCAGGGAATCAGTGAGTCTGAAGGTTTGGAAAAGGACAGTATGTTTTACTCCTGGTGGCCCTTGGGCCTGGATTGCATGACTTTCCCCATTTCTGTATGAAAGAAAAAGTGAGAGAGAAATATGCAGAATTGGTAGATGCTGACAAAAGCCAGAGGACTGTGGGTGGTCACATTCCAGCTCTGAGAAGCCCTTTGGTTCTCCCCATGTCCAAAGCATGTTTGGAAACACCCTATGGAACTTTGTCTGACAAAGAGGGATGACAACTGGGCAAGGGAAAATAAAGACACAAACAAAAGAGCTAAGAGGAATTAGACTTGAAAGGCACTGTAGTAGTACTAAAGTTGAGAGAAAGGATAACCAAGCAATTTGAAAGCTGTAGTAGGACATATGCTAGACATAAGAGTTGTGAGAAGGCCTAGGGTGGTATTGAGATGTTGAAGATGGGGCAAGATGATGCAAGATAGAGACCAAGATGATACATTGGCTGCTCTCTTGTAACCTTATAAGAGTTCCACAACCCTTGAGCACAGTCCATAGTCAGCAAAGGAGTAACCACCAACTTTTGCCCAAAATAAGCTGTGACAATTTGATTTTGTAGGAAGCTTTATTTGGATTCTTCCACCTTTTGAACAAGGAAACTAAAGACTCTCTGGGCCAAATAACACTTTGTGCACCTGCTCTCTAATAAACACACTCAAGTCTTTTCCTGCTTAATATTTGACAACCAAGGGGTCACATGTTACAGGTGAGTTAAGACACAGGTAGTGGTTGTGGGTTTGGATAGTAGAGGGTCACAGCAGCACGATATCTCTCTGTCCAGGTATGCTCAAATCTCCTTGCCATGAAGCTTTGTGGCTGATTTATGAACACAACCACATGAGATTCCAGACAGATAATTTGAAACCAAACATACTTTCAAGACAAGAAAAAGTGTGTTCATTATCCCAATTGATAAGAGACCCTCCAAAAATCTGTAAGTCGTATATGTTTGTTAACTTTCTTCAATACCAAGGTTTTTCAAATCCTAGTAATAGGATATATGTTGATTTACATTATTCTTCTTGATGAGAAAAAAGACTTGATAATATCTCTCCATCAAACTCATGCAAGCACCTTGCTTCACTATGGTCAACAAGTTTTCCAGTTATGAGGAATCAATTCTATTGATTTTGCGACATGTGTACATCAGTGGGAATTCCTCAGTAGATGATAAGCCTTAAACAGTTGTTGAATTGATTTTTCCTTCTTATTGATATTCCTTCACATTTAATTCCTCCTTGAATTTTCTTCTTCTTTATCTTCTATGACCTTTCCTCCCAATTACCACTTTCAGCATCCACATTCACCTAAAGAATTGACATAGAGATATACAAAAAAACTTATCACATTCTTCACAGACCAAAACCTCTTTGAATGAGATTTCCAATCACCTTTGGTTGTTGGCTTATAAACCCCCTAAGAAAACCTACACTCAATTTTCCAACACGTCAAAGAACTCAAATCAATTCCTTTCAACTTACCTTCACACGATCAAAACTCAAACTCTCATTCCAATATAATTCAATTAGATCAATCAGTTATTCAAAAAGTTCAAATATAATCCATTTATATAAAAGAAAAGATTCATAAAAAAGAAAAATTCATCAAGTAAACAAACATGAAAGAAAAAGACAAAAGAGAAAAAAGTTTGATATAGAAAAAGAAAAAAGAAGAGGAAAAAATCATCAAATGCTTTGTAAAAAAAAGGTCGTCATGTTTTCAAAGATTATAAGAAAGAAATAAAAAAATTATCTATCATTTTACATAATTTTTTTTGTTGATCAATAAGAAAAAAAAAACAATGCCAGAAAGAAAAGATAATAAAAAAAAAACGATGCATGCGTTCTAAACTCGCCCCCCCCATCCTCAGAAAAAATAATTCAAAAAAAAGAATCCTCATCATTCAAAAAAAGAAGCCGATGACCTTATAACCAAGAACCAAGAATCACAAACCTGGAAAGAAAAAATCAATCAATCCTGAATCAATTCTTCCCATCTGTTCAAAACCTGTTCAATCTTCCACCTTTGAGTTCCATCCGAATTCGATTTCTTAGACATCTTCAATCCCAATCTTTCTCCAATCTCATCACAAGCAATCAAAACCTTATCTAAATCTTCTTTAGTATGTGAAGCAGATACACAAAACCTTACTCTAGATGAAACTAAAGGTGTGGCAGGATAAGCTACTACTACTACTACGATTGAGTATTCTTTTAACATCATTCTTGAGAATTGTAACATCTAATCATGAAAAAACAAACAATGATCAGTGAAGAGAAAAAAAGAATAGGGTGAAAAAGAATGATTGACTTACTTTTCCTGGATGAAAAATAAGTAATGGAATAATAGGTGAATCACGATTTCCATAAACAATAAACCCAAGTTTTCTTAAACCAGACGAAAGATATCTAGCATTAAAAGCTAATCTTCTTAACCTTTCTTGACCTTCATCAAGTTCTCCGATCTGTTTAGACACTTGTTGGTTTCCAATGATTAAAGATAAAGATGAAATGATTTGTTGTAAGACTACAGGTGACATGGCTTCTGAATAAATCATTGAATGGTTTTGGTGTCGTAAACTTTGGATTGTAGAATGTGATCCTGCAATGTATCCTCCACTGGCTCCGACTGACCAAAACATAAAAAATGAGTTTGATGGTTGAATAACGAAGTTGAAAGAGAAGGATTTGAGCTTACAAGATTTTGTAAAAGTACCCATTAGGATATCTGTACCGGCTGGGTCCAATCCAAAGTAATCACAAACACCTCTACCTCTGGGCCCTAATGCTCCAATAGAATGAGCTTCATCGACATACAGATAAAACTAGAAAAGCGATATCGAGTTTCATGAGTGTTTACGAATAGAACTCTGAGAACTTGAGAGACGAAAGAACGAACCTTGTAAATCGCTTTAAGCAGATACAACTTCGGTAAGTTAACCACAGTACCTTCCATAGAATAGATACCTTCGACGACGACCACAATCTTTTTCCAAGGTCGATGAGTTCTAGGTTGACCTTGACTAATGGATTCTCTAAGTAATTTCTCTAAATCTACCATATCATTATGTTTATATTGTCGAACCATTGCACCCGATAAACGAGAACCGAATCGAATCGAAGAATGATTTAATTCATCTGAAATGATTAAAGTTCCTTTTGAACCTAAAGCAGGAAACGTAGTGGAATTGGTTGCAAATCCTTGTGAAACTAATAAGGCATCTTCTGTTCCTAAGAAATTTGAAATTAATTTTTCACATTGGATTTGTAATGGTGATAAACCCGCTTCTGATCTAGTAGAGACATCATAGGTTTTCAATCTATCTTCTACTGATGAATTTACAAATCCTTTAGATTGAGCAAATCCTAAATAGTTGTATGACGAGATGTTTAAAGCTTGGATGGTATTGCCAGTGTATTGAAAAGTTTCACAATGATCATCTGTTGTACGTTCAATAAGTGTGATGGTTCGACCTGCTACACCGGTAACTGGTCTAGCAAAACAATCTTCCATTCTAGCTTTTAATCGACGAGTATAGAATGAATCGAAATCTGAATTTAAGGCTGCATATCCATTATGAGGCATCAAGTGTTGAAATGCTTCAGATTTGAAACGTTTTCCAAAGAAATCACGAATATGACTAGAAAATCCAAGAAGAGATAAGTAAGTTTAGTTGATGATGAAAATAAAGTTAAGATCTAAAAGACTTACCCTAGTAGAATTAAGATCAGATAAGAAAAATAAGTGGAAAGATAAACCCAATAACCAGGTTCTTCACAATCTTCACCTTCGACTCCATGTAAGATTGTCTCAGTTAGCGATGTTGGATTTGAAGGATTTGATTTAAATTGACTGATCCAACGATACTTTTGATTAAAAGCATCAAAACCGAATTCCGAATGATTTAAACCGAATTTATCATAAACTTGATGATCAATTGGTTTATCAAATGAAACGATTGGGTTCAAACTAGAAAGAATACTAGAATGAGGTGGTAAGTCTAGATTTTGTTGAATTGAATGTTTAGAATGAGTAGGTGAATCGATTGAAGTAGCTGAAGAAGCCGATGAGTTTGTGAATGATAAAGGGTTTGATGAATTGATGGAATCGTTTGAGAATCGATGTAGTGAATTTGATTTCGGGTTTAAAGTAAGATGATGATTTAGTTGATCTGAATGATCTTGATCGGTGTTAGGATTAGGTTGAGACATTTTGATTAAAATTAAAAGTTGATAATGGATGGATGGATGGATGGATGGACGATTAGTTTATTAAATTAGGTAAAGAAGTGAAGAAGCAGTCAGACAACGGAAGGAAGTAGGCAGACTCTTCTCTCTTCATTTGGTCAACAGTCAACGGTCAAGCGTGGGAAATGTGACAGATTGGGTATTGAATTTGAATATTACCGCGGATTTCAATACAAGCTGAGCTCAAGTCAAAACTAATTCAGTTCACAACTCACTCATCTCTGGCCATCTTCATCAAAATCTTCTCATCAATCCTTTCTTGAGTTGCTTCTTCACATACATACAAACCTATCAAACAAATCGATCAAGAATTAATGACTTCATTCAAGTATGCAATCAATCAAAAGTTTATGAAACTAGCTGCAAGTACGGAAGCCGTGACGTGAAGTGACCGCCACGGTTTTTTCAAAACTTCGGTTTTCGGTTTTTGGTTTTCAGATTTCAGATTTTCGACTTTTCAGTCTTTTTTGAATTTCTGATCTCCTACGGAAGCCCAAACTTATTCAATCGCCTCAAAGATCAAGTTTGTTTCGACTCATTGGAAGACCCGATCGAACATCTCGAACACTATTGACGCCATCAATCACCACCTCAGCTGAAAGGCTTCCTTCAAATCTACAGCCCGTTGGCTTTCATATCTCAAACTCATCCACAACCTCCACAGATGAGTTCAGTTTCCATTCTCTTTTAGACCAAATGAGAAACTGAACCATAGCTTTGATCTTCATATTGATTGTAAAAGATGGGAGGTGCATTTTCACTTCTTAAGCACCTTCAGTATGTCTGTTGACTTAAACGTTCATTGGCAAAAAAAGCATAGGATGAGTCGTCATCACTCGAGAATGCTTTATTAGAGCTATCTAGCCTTATCTAGCCTCGTGTATACTACGATCTATGTAACCAAGTTGTGAATTTGTCATTTAATAGTGATCAACGCATACTCTTTGAGCTCTTCATCTTGACAATAAGGACCATGAGACTATTGATCTTCACCAAGAAGATCAGAAAGAAGTATTTCCAGAAAGGAGTATTTGGAACCATACTGACACAAACCATTCAAGCAAACATAGGACGAGCTTGTTAGTTGCAGACCCTTAACAAGATACACCGACTCAAGATTAATGACATTGCAATAAACATGAAAACAAGCGATTGAGAAAGGCAAAAAAGCGAGGTGAAACTTTCAAATAATCTATCATCAAGCTAATATACATGATTAGTCTCAATTTTGTAGGTTCAAGCTTTGGAACCGAATAGCCTCGAGAGGAAGAAAAGCAACATTTTTCACCGCGTAAAAAATCAATTCAATAATCTCACCGTTGAACGTAAACAACCCGATCAATTCTGAGTTTACTCCCACCGCCTAACCAGCTGGACACGTTCCCACTGATATGAATAGTTTTTGTGTAGATTTGATCACCAACGGAGTTGATGAGATTGAACATTTACCAGGATGTCATCATCATGGACTGGTTGCTCTTGAAAAAGAAGCAATTCGCCATCGTCTTTGAATTGATCGAGTGAAATCTGCGTTTGGTGATTGTTAGTCTTGATGACTGGCCGGGTACTTTTTGAAGGTTGAAATTCAACAAGTTGTTTGTGGGAATTGTCAACAATAGAAATGTGGTCATCGTCATAGACTTCTCACAAATGTGCAAGGCAAGGGGCACTTTTAGACTGCAAAAATGACAGTGTCTTTGCTAAGGGCAACGTAGTGTAGTGTTATTAATGCAGGGGCTTGAGGCAAATGCATGTTTGGAAATCAAAAAGACTGAAAAGTCAAAAATCTGAAAACTGAAAACCGAAAACTGAAAACCGAAGTTTTGTAAAAACCGTGGCGGTCACTTCACGTCACGGCTTCCGTATGCATGGGTGGCTTTGAATCTTGAAACATACAAATTCCCAAACATCGTCACATTTTGATCAAATATGTTGATGAGAACATATGATGTACACCTTTGACGATGATCAGTGAGCAAGATTTGGTAAATATTACTGAAACGGTAAACCCAATGAGAATAGTTTGAGATCACAATATTAGTCAAGCTGTTGATTCATCTGACCAAGTCAGATTTTCAAAACCCTATTTGAGATTTTGAGTGGTCAAGAGTATCTTCAACCTATTCAATTTTGGACTCACAAAACACCAGAATTCAACGGTCATCATATGTCTTGTGGTTTGTTGGGTTGTGATACATCAAGCGTTCTCAATAGAGACTAATCAACAAGCATCATCATAACTAAACAATCACAAGGAGCCCGAATGACAAATAAGATCGATCGAAGTACATGACAGAACAGATGGTTTTGACCTCTTGAGCAAAAATAAAAATGGAAAATAGTACTGGCCACAAGCTGGAAGATTATTCCTGTGCAAAAATACAATTCAATCAAGATCATACGTGTTGCCCAAATGCTGTGATTTGAGCCTTTGACATACACTCATTGATTCACTTCATTACCTCAAAAAAATACCAAGTTACATCCCAACAATGCAGAATGCACCAAGGTTCTCGCATCACGGTTGAACAAAAAAATATCTAAAACTGAATTCGGTTTCATATGAAATTCACAACAAAACAAAAAAAGTTTACAAAAAAAGCGTTCGGAGAGTATAAGAAACATCCTCGAAAAAGAAGATGTAACAACTCCTCACATCCAAGACCCCATTTGAAAAAAAAAACTTTCCAATAATCCCAAGATCTCAATCAAACTAATCGATCAAATCAATCCTAAGAAAAAAAAACGTTTTCCAAAACCAAAACACTCAGGAACGAGCAACGTAACTCTAGAATCATTCCCCTAAGGGATTTCATCCTCCTGTCATTTTGTTTTCATCAAGTTTTATCTAGTACATTGATTTTCACTTTCGTCGTCATGATGATCATTAGTTTCTTGTGGTTTTGATTTTCCTTAATCAGTTAATGCCTCATGTGCATAACTTTTTGGGTGGTCCTAGTGAGTTTTTCGTCATGACGCGTGAATAAGAAAGATGTAAAATAGTCCAATGATAGGATCAAAATCCGAATATAAACTTCAAATGATTTATCAAGGAAATCTAAAGACAAAGCAAAAAGAGATATTCAGTAACCCGGATTTCAATTCGTAAATGGAACAGAATCGCCAGAAAGCAAAAGAACGACATTACAATTTTAATCATCATACCGGCGAGCTCCAAGACCATCGAACAAAAAACCGTATCCTCCCTTCGATCGTAGCACCACACACACACATACACAGAGACACACATCCATCCAAGAAGAAACGAGTTCTGAATCCACTTTTATGATCTTTATGATCAAGAAAGACAAAAAGTGGACACAAAAAACAAAAAAAAAGGCTCCTAGAAAGCCTCCATAGCAGTTTTACATAGATTCATCTGATTGATTCCCAAACAGGAAGAAGAAGGAAAAAGTATTGGCTAGTGACCTTTATCTCGTACTCTCTTTCACCTTCTTTCGATTAGTCACCTGTCGTAGTAATCCCACCGAGTTCCAATCATATATGATCAATGGCTTCGACAGCGTCTCCTTAGAAACGGACTCATCATTCCGACTCCGCGCAAGGTTATAAGAGAATGACAACTGAGGGTCTGATGTTCGGATCAACTAACATCTCTAGCACCTCAACCATGCCACCCGTGATCACTCGCGTTCCAAGTACTTGAGCCGAGATCATCGATAGTCTCATGAAGTAGATGTGAACCATGAATAAACAGATCAAGCGAAGGATGTAGAAAGAAGACAAGCAGCCTTAATCCCAGAGAGTGAGCTTATCGGAATCTGTTTCACATCAGCACTTATGATGCCACCATCTACTCAAGACTCTTGGAATTTCGAATGACCACTGATAGATGATGATGAAAGCACATTGTCGAGCGAGGATATATATCAAGACCGGCCCAGCGTGAAAACAATTTAGCAAGAGTCAGTCCTAGTCTTAAGCTAGCCATAGCGGGATATAGACCCTTTGATCAATCGTATGATTCAAAATCAGTGGTTTCCCACAACAAATCACAATCAAAAGAAGGATAATCGAGAGCATAGAGATGAAAGGTATGACCAAGCAATAAACTTTTGTTCGTCTTTCTGTACCAGATGAATCCATGAAAACGCCGATGCAAGAAACCGACAAAGCTTCATTCAAGCTTACAGGTCCAAGAAAAGAGGTGAAGAAGGAACTGAATCATTCGACACTTTCGATTCGGCCAACAACTGAAATCAACTTCGGGTCGCAAGAACTTAGGGTTAGATGCAGAATCTTGCAATCATCGAACCAGTTCGAAGCGTCAGGAGCTGATCAGTTTCAGATTGACCAATTCCGTCATTCACTATACGACATGCAGCCGAATCAGCTAAACTCTGGGGGTGGAACCGTTCTTCAGTCCGGATGTGTGCTCGAGTAATGTGTGGGTGTGGTGTGCGTCTCAGTTCGGATAAAGCTCTCGTTCTAGGCTGTCGTTTTTCAAGGACCAGGCAGTCGATCGAGTGAAGAGGAGAGGCGTTGAATCAGACAAGTTATGATTGATCAGGATTCAATGGACATTCGAAACGCGTACCTTGAAGCAAATCTGAGATGATGCGATGTGCATCGATCACCCTTTCAGGCACCATGATAAGATTGCTTGAAAAGGATAGTGAAAACGATTCAAGGAAACGTAGATCGAACAAAGGAGAAACAAGAGTCATCATCAAAAGTCGTAAGATTTTTGGAGTCGAAACACTTCACTCACCATGTAGCCGAACGGGGATCTCGAGAGATTGAAATGACTTCAGAAGGTGAAGTGAGTAGAAATATGGTCGAAGTGGTTTATAGTGAGCGAAGTGATGATGACCGAAGTTGATTGGTAAAGTGGTTGCTCAAAACAAATTCAGCTTTAAATTTGGTCGCGTTGGCTGAGTGGTGGCTGATCAGCCTACATACAGCTACATGTAACATACAACACATATTACATAACATAAACATACCACATACTGTCAAAGCCATAGCCTGGAGATGGCTGATGCGTAACATGGGATGAAAAAGGTTTGTTTGCCAAGCTTCATGAGGTTACCAATGAACGTTTCTTTACCTTGAACCACAAATCATCGGAAACCTGCAAGAAATAATAAATTATTAAAAAGTTAACCATGGACTTGAAAGCCTACCTCGCTTCCAAATATATGTCAGGTCCGAAAGCCGAAGCTATCTTATCATCTGTTGCATCAGAAAGCTCAACACGAAAGAAACGTAAAAAGAAAACTCACGATCCGAGTAATCTAACAAGTCAAACTTCATCGGGGCTTATTTTGAAAGATGAAGATGAATCATGTTGGAAGAATGAGGTGGAAGAAGAAGAGAATGAACCAGGTGAGAAGATCATCTTCCAAAAGATCATCAAATTATAACTTGAGACTAAACTGAGATTGGAAACCCGTTTTTTCACATATAGTGATCGAAACGATTGCAAAGTTTAAAGGAAAATCGAATAATGAATCAAAATGGACAGTCATCAAACCTTCAGAGGAGACCAATGAAGAAAACATAGCAGAAGATGAACAACCTCAAATAGTTGAAGAAGTTACAACTGGAGTCACAGGAGGATTACAAACAGCTGATCAAATCAAATCTCATCTTAAATCACAGAAAATGAAACAAAAAATAAGAGAAAGTCAAAGAGCAGCAGAAGAAGATGTAGAAGAAGAAACGGTTTATCGTGATTCATCAGGTAAAAAGATTGATACCAAACAACTTCGAGCTGAGGAAAAAAGAAGGCAAGCTAAAGATTTAGAAAAGGCTATGAGAAAGATGGAGTGGGGAAAAGGTTTGGTACAAAGGGATGGTAAGAAAGCTGATGCCGATGAATTGAGTAAGATAGCTGCTCAACCTTTTGCAAGGTAAGTTGTTCATGAGATTATGCCCTTCCTTTAGTTTTCGAGTCCTACACTGATTATTTTTGGAATATCTCATAGAACGATTAACGATCAAGAGATGAATCAAGAGATGAAGGGTGTTCAACGCTGGAATGATCCTGCAGCTGGTTTCTTGACTGTGAGTGATCTGGATTTTCATTCATTTCTACTTTGATTCTTGACCTCCGAGTAAATTTTAAACCTTGATGTGAACATAGAAACCATCCAAATCGACCTCCAAGCCAACCCGACCTAAATACAATGGTCCACCACCACCGCCTAATCGATATGGAATTCCTCCGGGTTATAGATGGGATGGAGTAGACCGTTCAAATGGATTTGAGAAAAAACTCTTTGCAACTGGAAATGATAAAAAACGAGTTGAGTATGATATTCCCAGGGTTTCATTCTCGATCACTACTATTTGTTTCACTGATCATGAACTACTTTTTTGGGATCTTAGACTAAAGCAGAAGCTTATAGTTACTCTGTGGATGATATGTAAATCAATGACTCGCAAATCTCACCCAAATCTCATCATCTTTTGTTTCTTTTGATCTTCCGTCCTGATAGTGTTGTAACTGGAACAATTGTGTAGAATTCTAAATCTTTTTCTTCCTACATTGTGCAAAACTCATTTGAACCTATGTCACAATTTCATTACTGATTTGCATAATTTCATCAAATTTACGATGTCATAATCACTTGACCAGATGCAATCCTGACACCCCCACCCAAGGGCATTTATCAACTCACACAGAGTTTGGTTGTTAGTCTTGCTTGATGAGCTTCCCGTAAGAAGAAAACAAAGCTGCCTATATATAATCTTCCACAACCTACCAAGCTCCATGATCAGATTTTTCTTCACCTTTATATCCCCCGTGAAGAAAGACGATGACACCAAATATGATATTGAATAGAGCTAAACCTTTCTTCCACCTTTGGCTCTTGCTCTTTGCTCAAGCTGAAACCACTACTACTTGCTCTTCTCTATCAAGCACTGCTGGCGCCTTGGATTTTACAATCCGAGGCATCTTTGTTGGCAGTGAAGACAACTTTCTGCATTGTTCAAGAAAATGATCTCAACACATTCAGGTATAGAACTTTCAGTTTGGACATAATGTGATATTATCCCTCAAAAATCCAAAGATGGAACATCAACCAATTTGACTGGAAAAAGATAGCCATACAAAAGAGTACAAAAGCATACTGTAGCCAAGATGAAGAAATATGATCTTGACTAAATTCAAGTTTTAAATGAGGCTCCATTGTGGTCAGGCTACGCAGAGATGTAAGAAAGACACAACAGCAATCACATGATGAAGCTCCAAACTCTCAACCGCCATTCACAAAAATATCATCAGCCAAGGTCTGCTTACAAACTTTATGATCATCACCCTGATTATCATCCATGCCGAGAGGATGAGATACATAAAAAGTACCCGGTGTGGGCGGAGCATCACGCCGTCATCGCGTTAAATTTAAGGGTTTGTCGTACAACTTTTTTGTTGACTCAGACTTGCTGAAGGCGGGACATCTTGAAATGGGATTAAAGTAAAACTTAAGTACTATAATACTTAGTAAGATACTAAAACGAGTAAGAGAAAGATTTGGGAGAGAATCCTGGGCTGAGAGCCTAGGGTTAAATTCTTTGTTAAGTTTACTGTTGCCTGGGAATTTGGCCATACATATATATCCTCGTATATTGCTGCTTGCACAATGCAACTCAATTAAGACCCTGCCGATGTCGCACGAGGAAATGATATTTAAGTACATCGTCATGTTTGACAGCTGGCTGCAATATGTACCTTGCTATACTCACTTGGCTCGATGGATCTCTTGCTACGTATGTGAAATTTCTATTTATGTACCTTTCAGTCAGTATACAATCCGGATATCTCTTCAAGTAGCTTCAAGTCCCTGATCCTTTCTTCAAACGCCAATTCCTCGTCCTTCAAATCCTTCTTACTTTTCCAATTACAATTGTTTTCGTACCCACATTCCAGCTCTTGTCATCATGAGATTGTTGTTTCTTCTTGGATTCCTCTTACAAGCGTTAGGTGTGATGGGTTATCCCAAATCCGTCGATCAACTCGAAGGACGTGATTTGACTGGCTTTGAATCGAACCGCCCGAACAAACTTTCCAAGCGCACGTTATCGACAACCAAAAACTCCGTATTTTGTCCTGCTGCAGGTCCCGACGGCACTAGATTTGATTTGAAAGATTACAACAAGTTAGTCACTATCAACTCTTTTTCATTTTAAAAGATATCCTCTTTGCTTTATCAATCTTATCGATTGACTCGTATCCATTGTTGGAACCTTGATTAGATGCATGACTGCTTTGATCTCACGCCATGTCCCATGTGCTTACTTCAAGGATATAGTTGTGAGTAGGGTGTTTGATGAGCAAACCGCGAGGCTAGGTCTTATAGAGTTGACTGGCTGATTGACTCATCTCGTACAGATGTTTGTCGAAACGGAGTCCGGTGAAAACGCCGTGTTTGAGGAGTGAGTCTCTATGTGACAAGTCGAACTAATTTTCCTAGAGTTCAAATATGAAAATGTTTATATTCATTTGTTCTTTCAGCGCCTCACCCAGTGTCGTTAGACACATAATGGACGTCAGGCTCAATGATGAATGTCTGGTTGATAACCCAGTCAAGCCTGTAAGTCATACGTCTCTCTCCTGCAAATCAGAATTGAACCCTAACTAGCTTTAACAACACTACCAATTGATAGAGGAGCAACCTACCAGACCCACCATCCGCGGATCTTGGTAAATCAATCCAGGTACTGTTTTATGATAATGATACCCCTAGCAAGCAAGTCATCACGTGTACAGTGGGTAAACCCGAGTACGTGTTCCGACCTGCCCTGCAAAATCAAATTTCACCTTTCGGGTCAATGTCGGGGCACTCAATTTGAATGTTTGAGACTGGCACCCAGACCATTGAAAAGGCATTGCTTTGATGAATCTAGGAATATGGTTTTGGAGACCAAAAATATGATTTTACTCTTTTAGAGGTTTGGATTTTCGGACCTAGGCCTCGATTAGGTACCTATCTAGCTACTTAGCGGCGCACTAGGCCTATAATTTAATGAATATGGCTGCTCAAGTGGCAAATAACAACCAAATTTGCTTTTTTTTTAAAAAAAACCAAAAGTTTTGCAGCCTAACACCACCCCTCAACCTTACTCTCCCGCCAAAAAAAGCAGAAAAAATGGCAAAAATTTCTCAAAAATTTCGGACCCAAACCTCTATGCGGACTGGCTTGGAACACGTATGTACTCGGGTTTACCCACTGTACCCCCGAGGATGATGATTGGGCGCGCCAGGCTGTACAGGGTAACGCTTAATCTCAACAACTGTGTCCCAGCATTTTGTTTCGTTTCATTCAAGTCAAATTCATAAGCATACTCTGTGTTTCAACGATTACAAACGATCTACATGTTATCACAGCATGCATAATTGAGCCCAGGTCAATAAATTGTCAGCATGGAAAATGCCATCTTAGAGAGTCTTAGCCTCGATCCTTATAGGAACTTCCACTATCATCAGTGAATTACATGATATCAAGCAAATACAATCACGAGTTGTTCTATCGCTGCTTTCTTACCACAGAGTACGGCTTCGATGTCGTTAACTTTTAGTTTTGCCAGGTCTGGTCAAGGACTAGAGAAGTATCTTATGTCGGAGTGCCTTGACACAAATTCTGCTTGAAACCGCTACATGAATGATATGGAGCGCTGAAGAGCGGGCATGTCAGTGCAGTCAGTGCAGTCAAACGACTCGATTAAGATTTATGCACCCCTCTGGTGTTTGTACATAAAAGATTTTGATTATTCGACATCGTGATGAAGGATTCACCTTGCAATCGCGCGGATAGATATGTACCCGTAGAGCGGCATATATGTGTTCATGGTGCGTTGTGAAGTCATCACAGACCTGAGTCCACCCTGCTGGTCATCATGATCGAGGAAGGTACATACATGGGTGTCTCGAATACTCACGACATCTCTTGTAAGTGAATTGTACTGTCGTTCTCGAAGAGCTTGTCCGAGTTTTCCCGCAAAACTCGAGCAATTTGGCGGGAAAACTTGGAAAAGCTTTTCGAGAAGACAGTACTTTTCCCTGGCTTCGGTCGCGTCTGACACCTTGCGATGTAGTATAAAACGGTGCCCTCTTACCAGCTGATATTCCTCCCATGAGCCGAATATAACCCCTTACAAATCTATGCTCAATTGTCCATCTTTATCACAAAACATGAATAACTTCTTAGCACTTATAGTTCTTTGTCAGTTCTTCATCTCTGGTCAAGCAAACACAGATGGCCGAGTATCGGTGCGATCCTTCGCATCTGAGGAGGCTCGCCAACCTACTATTCTTGAAAAAAGACAGACGGCGAATATGACCTGCCATATCAGCGATGATGTTGAATCAGCAACAGGCAATGCGGCAGATTGCTTCGCGTCAGTTTTCCTTTCTCTATTTAGCTAGAAACTTACATTCACCGGCATTCCTATACTGAAGCGATCAATTCTAACTTTGATCAACGCATTTGCCGACCGTGTTTACACAGTGCTATAGATTACTTGTATACTGCCCCAGCTCCTCGACCAGGCTGCGTCATTTGTCGCACTTGTACAGTGAGTTCATTACACACCATCCATCTGCCCATGGGTTCAACGCGCTGAATCATGGGTTTCTCAACAGATCAAGCCTCTCGATGGCTCTGAAAACCCGGTGGGGGGTATCAATGGGTATGTAGTATTGGTGACAAGTATATATGTACATTGAAGCATCTCTAACAAAGTGGTTTGTTTTACAGGAATGCTCCTAGCATCGCGCAGGCTTCGATTAACGCAGCATATGACAATAGGTTCAGTCAAGTAATATTCTCGCCCCCCCAACCAGATTGCGTAAATTACGTGCTCCCCGCTGGTATTGTATGTCAGGATTCTAATTTTTTTCAATCACGGCGTGATGCTCAACTGATCTTCAAACATTTTGTTACAGAACTTGGGCCCACTCCCGCCTGGCGGCACTTTGTTTGCACCTTATCTTCTTGGATATCTAGACGGCCAAGGTGATTCTCCTCAGGCTTGTAGCGCAGAATTGGACCAGGAGATTCAGGCACATGGGGGTTGAAGTCGGTTGAGGATTTAAAGCTCCATCATGCAATTGCTGCTATACTTTCTGATTTACCTCTGTGTAAGCTGCCCCAAATGAAAATTGAACAAGGGTCTCATGTCGTTCAAATGATACTTGTTCAATCCTTTTAAATTTCATTATGCGTGTTAAGAGGCTTGTAGTGTAATCGCAACACCATCAATGGGTCAAAGGCTAAACAAATCCAAGTGATCACACGCCTTTTGATTGCAATTGTAAATGTAAAAGGGGTTTTACATTCCTGCATTGAGATCCAACTTTTTTCATCATTTCTGGTTCTTGCCATGCTTATCGAATATGGGAAAAAGGCCTGATGAGACAGGTGAGGAAGACCGAACTGCAGTAATTATATAGCTTCTGATCGAGGATAATGTTGAACTTATACAATCCACCTTTACCCCAAGGTGGAGACCAATAATCATTCGAATAAAATATATGCAAACGATTCACTACATGATACAAATGATGAGATCCTCTTTGAAAAACAAAGAAAGCACAAGTCGATTCTTATGTTATGGGGCTCTTCTTTTTGATGGTGTCTATTGTACTCAATGTCTACTTTGTCAAGTTTGTCTCATACTACTAAACTCCCTCAACTATCTTGAACCGTTCCGAAGCCTCATCATATCCAAACCACACAGCGTTGTACCCGATACAGTGACAGGCTCCATGAATGACTATAGTATTGATGGTCCTGAAACCTCTTCCTCGGGTCTGGTGTACAATGTGCTCAGAACCATAAAAAAATCCAGCTTCCAAACCTTTTTGAAATCTACTCCCACTACATTTCTTTACCTCAAACATCCTGAATTAGCAAACTGAAAACATCGAAATCTCGATCTTTTACAAATTCCTCATTCATGGTACTTTTAAATTTCGTTTTCGTTTTTTATTAAGTTTTCCTTTTTGATGATGATGACCCAAAGCTACATTCTGTTCACATTTCTTACATACCCAACAATCTGATTCACCTGGTTCTTCTGTTAATCCTGCACAATCCATATGAAACTACAAATCCAATCCAAAATCAATCCAAAATAATCAGTCAACTTCTCTTTAAATTATCATCTTGAAGTCAAGATTATCTTTCGATGACTTAAAACGAATTTTCATCGTAACAATAAAAAGTTCAACTAACCCATTCTCCTCCATCACATTTCTCATTATCACATGCAATCATGATTCCATAGGATACTTTGTTACAATAGCAATACGGTTTTTCTTCTTCGGCCAGACTTGATAATTCTCCATCTAACATCACATTCGAATTCTGCGAATCTTCTTGAACCTTTTTACGATTTGATATACTAGGAGTCCTTGTTCTCTTTTCAATCGAAGCGCTTACTGATCTACGTTCTCTCAGGACCGGACTACTTCTTCTCATATCTACCGTTGTCTGTTCTGGATGGATCTGAGGAACAAAAAGGGTCGGACTACCTTGGGTTTGTCGACTAGGGCTAGGAACTCGAGTGTTTGTCATTGAAGGTGACATCGATAAGGTTTCGGGTCTATAGGGTCCAGCGGAGGGTTGTGGATCTGCAAAGATCCCGGTAAGCTTGATGATAGATGGTTTTCGAGGACTAAGATTTGATAAGGTCTGAAGACGAGGTGAATGTCGATCGGATTTTCTAACTCCGTCAGGCACCAGATCTGAGGAAGAGGCTTCAGGTGCGCCAATACTGTAGCCATTCATGGAGGTAGATGTATCAGGTAGGTCGGTTGTTTGGATATCTTGAGGTTTGGAAACCAGGAATGATAGTCGAGGGGATTTAGTAGAAAGTGATCTAAGGTTTTTGATCAGCTTGTTCGACTTCTTCCTTTTGTTCGGCTTAGACGGTGCTTTGACTTGGCCAACAGAGGCTTCAGCTTCATTGACAATTGGGGATGGTTCGGGTCCGAGGGCAGGTTGCTCATTCTGAGAGAGAGTTGGAAGGTCGGTCGGATTGATAGATTGATCACCTTGGTCACTCTTCTCTCCAGTTTGATCTTGATCTTCTAGATCTGGATATTTATCGAGTTCAGCATCGATTCGTCGGAGATGTCGATCAAGGCCTTCATAAACTTTTTCTGCGAGATCGAGTTTATCTCGAGATAGTTTTTGAACTTTTGAAATCTTATTAGCAAGTTCACTCCATAGAGAATATACAAATTCGGCTGGAAGTTGAGTCGATTCTTCAGTAAGATGTGAAGGTGCTGTACCGGGAACTGAGAAGCATCAGTGAGCATATCAGGTTTATTGTGTAAGGTGAGTATATTGGCACACCTGAAGGTCCCTCAACTTCATTGTTTTCTGGCTTTGAAAGATGGTTGATGGTTTGCGCAACTTGAAGGTATTCATATAAATCCTCGTGAATTTCTTCTGAACATTCTATCAGTATGAACAAGAAAGTTGATCAGATACTAAACAGACAAGAAGATCATGTCGAAATTTTGGTCCTTACCTTCCACATTGACATCCATCTCACGAATCAAGGTAAAGTTTCTATCCAATTCCAAAGGGAGTTCTTCGACAACTAGTCCGAGAAAAGGACAACATGAAGTTTTTCAGCTTCTTTTCGTCCTTTGGATTCGATCTTGATTCAGATTTGAGAGGTATACTGCTTACTATCATAATATCTGAAATCCAAAGTCAAGTTGAGATACGAAAATCAAATATAAATTTCAGCTTGAACAATCTGTAATGAATTACTGAGCCCTCACTCCTCTTGTATCTCCGCGAATAGTTTTTCTCTTGCCAGTTCTTCTTTTTGAATCTCAGGCGATACTTCATCAACATCTTCCTTCAATTCGACCTCTTCCTCCGCCACTTCTTTCACCACCTCCATCGATTCAGTAACTTTTGATTTCTTCGTCTTTGAAGCAGGTCTCCCTGTTTTAACCGGTCGTTTAGAGTTACGAGGATTCGTTTTTGGTTCCGATTCATCTGAAAGTCTCTTCTTTCGTTGTGGAGCAACAATTCTGGGTTGTTTGGCTGCTCGTCCAACATTGGAAGCTGGTCCAGGTGATGCTGTCGCGTTCTTTGGACCTTCCTCTTCTAAGTCGCCTCTCTTCTTACGTCCCATGGCCAGGAATATTTGAGATGAGTTCGTTTTGTGGACTTCGCGTGATGATCTATCAACTTGATGGTTGTGAGTCGATGAAGACTACAGGGACAACTCAGCGACTCGATAGCTTCACAGTTGACTGACTTGTGAAGTGTCAGCTAGATGTCAACTACACAACACACTTCCTTAAACCAGAGATATCACACGACAAAGGAATTCGATGGTGAGAATGACCCAGGCGTGACATAAGCTGAACAGGTGGCCTTGAAATACTTTGAAAGTTGAGCAAAGTCGGATTCAAGAAGACTGAGCAAATTCAAAGATGACTCAAGTCTCATTAATGATGAGAAATTCAATTTCTACTGGTCTCAAAAGATATCAGCATCAACTCATGCCTATCTCAACTAGAGGCGTTAACTCGAGTCACTCGTTTTGTAATTCTGGCGTAATCAAAAAAATCAATTCAATTGCAATCCCTAATCGATACCATCAAATCAGGACTCTCTTCAATCAGTCAAGAAACATCAGTTCAGATGCATCCTCAACAAGTGACTCGAAAGCCTTAAAGGAGTCGAAACTACATACCATCTCGTATGTCTCCCTCAAAGCCCAAAGAGCTGCCATCATCTTTCAGCAGACCCAATCTTATTGAAGTTTTTTATTGGCGGCCGGGGTTTATCGATCGGTATCTTATCAGAGAATTAAATATCCAAGAATACCATCAAATTTCTGACGAAACATTGCATCAACTCACCGAATCTCTAGAAGCACTGATTGAATCTGGACATCCAAAAGTAGAAGGTTGGGATCTTGATTTTTCAGTGAGTGAAAATCATTACTTATAAGTCTTTGTGAAAACCTTTGAAGCACAAATAAAAACCATCCAAGAGAAGGGGCCCAAATTGGAATTTTGTTTTTTTATAAAACAGATTTGAACTGACTATTAGTCTTCAACTTGTGGAAAGAGTGGAGTTTTAACCTTCTCAATGGGAGAGGCAGGAACTTATGTAATAAACAAACAACCACCAAGTAAACAAATTTGGTTCTCTTCACCAATCTCGTTAGTCCTTTGCTCCCAATGTCCTGATTTTTGCTCATATTTTATGCTGATCATAATTATCTTATCGTATAGTGGTCCTAAAAGGTTTGATTATGATAGAGAATTGAAGATTTGGTTTTATGCTAGAGATGATGGTCGTATGATGGATTTAATTCGTGATGAAATATCAAACGCGTTGGGTGATGATCATTTTGTAAAGATATTGGATCATCGTCCCAAAGACGAGAAATGATGAGATAGGTCAGGCTGTGGTTTCAAGAGAGGATTGTAAGATTCGTGTGCTATCATGGCTCTAATGGTCAGTAAGCTTGATGTATTGAAACAATATTATGCGTGTTCATTCAATGGTTCCATCGTATTCGTAGCAACGGAAAAACTATGCAAATCGAGAGAACTGCCTTGATTGGCAGAAGTTTTTGGGATGGCTCTACTGGAAGAGGGTCTTCACAGGATGGACACAGGACTTTGTCGTCAGTGTCAGAAAAAAGAGGCATGATGCTGCTGTTGTCAGAATCAGAATCTTCTTGATGGTGAGAGGATTGTGTGTGTAGAAGCCTTGATAGATTTGACAGTTGTTGACGTCACAGTTTCATTTGATGTCTTGATGTTTGATTCAAAACAGCAAGTGAAGTTGCCTTTGCTGGTTCCTTCACAGTGGTTGAGGTTAAAGATTCAATAGATGTGACTTCATTTTCAATGACTCTTTGAACGCAACAATTGAAGCAATGACCCGGCTCCCTGCATGTGGTACACTTACAAGGGATTTGCACAGGCTTGCTTGGTTGAGATACCAGTTTGGTTGGTTGAGAAATTGAGAGAGCTTTGGTTAGTTGAGAAACAATTTGAGTGACCAGCTTGGTTGTTTGAAAATTGCTTCTTGAGCAACTGAGACAGCCTTGGGCGATTGTGTTTCCTTATTCTTTCTTCCTTGAACAGTGCTGGCTTGAGCAACAGGAACAGAGAAAGTTTGTTGCAATCACTGGGATTGGATTCTGGAGCACTATCCAAGACATCTATATCTAAATGAGGGAGTCACATGGGGAGTGTGTCCTGACAATGGCTGGTTCATGACAATAGCCACATTTCGAAGGACAAGACTCTTTGTTTTCTTGGACTACATAACTGATGCTTTATTTCCATTGGTGTTTCTGACTAGGGCAACCATGATTATGAGCTTTCATCACATTGTCTTGAATCAGAATCACAGAATGGTTCCCTGTTTTGAGTGTGGCAAGCTCTTCATGAAACTTGTGCAGTGAATAATCTGGAAGTTTGATAAGGTGGTTGAGATTTGATTGGACTGCTAGCTGTAACCCTTGATGACTAGCTGGAGCAATTTCCAGAGTCATATGCAATTGTTGCTTGGCCAGTCAAGGTGAGGTGCAATTGGATTGTGTCAAAGCATGTGTGATCTCATGAGAACAGGGCAATCCCCATGTGCCACAAAATGACTTGCTTCACTCCCTATCCAAAGACTTGGGATAAGCTGGTACTGACCCTTGATCTTTGGTGTGCATAGTGTGTAACAACTTTATTCATTTCTTGGAAACATTCAGGTTGGCCATGTAACTTCTTTTGATTCTTGATTCCATTTGAAATAAATATCTCATTTTATTTAGAATCTTCAGCTTGCTTGAATGTATTGAAACAGGAGATAAAATAATTGTTACTCACCTCTAAAAATTTCTTCAGTCAATGGTGGCTGCCCTCAACTCAAGAGGTTGATGAGCAAAATTTGGTGTATGAGAGGTTAAATTTGATACAGCAACAAAATTCTTGCTTTCAGGAAGCCAATCTCTCTCATGATAACCCAAGATCTGGTGATGCCAAGCACTGACTTCAACAGCTTCCAGGTTTTTGTTGTATTTTGGACAAGTTGTGCTTTGCAAGAAATAATTCCAGAGCTTCATGAAGCCAATCAGTTGAGGACCTGTGAACTTGCTCTTGCAATTCTTGCCAATGTTGTGATTGATCAATATGTGTGTTGCACTGGGAAACACCTTACCATTTGTGTTGTACAGAGTAAGGTCTGGATTGTTACAGGGACTCAGGAGGTTTGTGGAATTGACAACCTGATTTTGTTTGTATGGTGAGTCAAAGATGACCTATTCCTGTTGCTTTGACCTTGATTGGCGCTAGTAGGATCCTTTCAAACTTAATTTGTGCTAGTAGAAGGACCTTTAGTGGAGGTTGTAGTTGTAGGAATGGTTTGCAGTGGATCTGACCTGGTGTCTTCCATTTTGCCTTCAAATACCAGTCTACCAACTTTAGTTGTTCCAAAGGCCCCATGTATGGATCCTGAACCTCACTATGCACATGAACCATAGAGCCACCATGAACATTATGTGGGTGTTAGTTGTACCAACAATATGATGGAGGGGGAGATTGAACCAATTTGTCTTGTGGGTGAACTCAATGCCTATGACTGTGGGAAATTGACAAGCCACATAGTTCAATACCTCTAGAACTGGCCATGAAAGGTGACTGGAGGGTACATTCACCTGAGGTAGTAATGTGGTAAGCCCACTTTGCTTTGGAAATCAAGTGGAATGATGCTTGAATGGGTGTCTGGCCTTTCAGCCACATAGTTTTCTGTCAATATTGGGCATTTTAGATGTCACAAAATTGGTGCCTGAACCAGAAGGGAAATCTATCAGTCCTCTAATCTGCCCTCCACAACAGCCAGCAAATGAGAGAAGACCATTTTGGTCCAAGAAACTGTGGGAGGTCTGTTAATTTTTTTTAAAGACTTTGGGTTTAGTTGAAAGGATTGTAGTTGTGTTTATGTTTAGTAGGGTTTTGGATGTCCTGTTGCACAACCCATTGACAAGCTCTCTGGTATGTATTGAGGGAGATGTCAAAGGTACACAGCATCATTTTTGTTAAGCTTTTGCAAAGCTTTGCCATAGAGTTGACTGCTTGTCCACAGCTGCACCTGAAGTATATGCAGTACTTTTGGCTGTAATCACTCTTGTGGCTCTTGATGACAGTACCATAGCCTTGATCCCAAGCTACTGCGTTCATATACATCCCTCTGCTTTCCATTTCTGCAAACCGCTTTTCAAAGTTGGGAGATTCCATGAGATGGATCAGGATACGTTGTTATGAGCAAGTATTCACCAACTTTGGCTCAAAGGGAAGAGAAAACTACAAAACTACATACCTATAGGGGCCAATCTTTATCCCCTTGAGCTTGAAGATCACCAAGCCAATGCTGGCTTGCAGCATTGCGCAGTGCTGCAAACCATGATTTGAGAAGCCCAGTGCTGCAAACCATGATTTGAGAAGCCCAGTGAAAATCAAGCTCACTTTAGCTTGGTAGCTCTCAGAGCAGGTTGAAAAGTTTTCTCAGCAAAAAAATGGCTGAAAGTGGTGCTTTTCTGAAGCAGATCTTTGCAGTGCTGCAGGCAAAAAGGAAGCTGTATTTTTCAAAACTGAATGGAATTGACTGAAACTTCCTTATTCTTCTTTATTACATTTTTTTTGTTACAATTCTTTTCTTTTATACTTGGGGTTAGATTTCTGATGAGCTCTTGAGCTAGGCCTAGCTTTGAAATATATCTGTGGTTCTAGATACACTGTTGGTGTTTTGCCATCTTGAGATCTGGCCATTTTGATTCTCTTAGTGTTGTTTTCACCCAGTGGAAATTCCACTTAATTACTACACATGGCTCAGTTTTTTGAGCAAAAGAATTATCACTTATTGAGAATTCTATTACATCTCTCATTTAATTGAAATGTTCATAAAGTTGACAAGTCAAAGACTTCAATGTCTGAGGGACAAGTTTACATTAGGTATATTTTCTGTACTATTTCCACAGATAACCAATCTTGTGGTCATGGGACTGATATGATATGATCAACATAACAGTGATTTTTATTATATTTTTCAACTTCATTAAAAACTGGCTTAATCAAGGGGAACAAGAAGACAATAAAGGAGATTCCAAGGGCTTTCAAAGAATTTGATTCACTTTATATATGTTTGTCAGGCCATACATGTTCAGGTGATATATGTTGACTAAAGACCTATTCCAATCTCCCTCCTGAGGTGGTCTTGGGTCATCCTTGAGCATGTAAAACCTAGTTGGAAGTCATGACCAAGGAGAATTTAATGATAAGAAGCAGCATGTAAATCAATTCAAAACAGGTCCAATTTAACTGATTGTCAGTGCAGCAAGCTCACAAGTGTCAAATTAATGACTTCAATAACCTCTACCTGAATACAATGAAAGGATATGAACAGACAAACTCACCACAAAGATGTGGTCAAAATGCCCATTACTTCTAACTCCCAAAACTTAAAGTCCAGCCTTGTGATTGTAAAGTCTCAGTACAAGTCCTGGTGGTAGTGTGGAATGACTTGGATTGTCAGGATTGGGTTGAGTTTGTTGCCTCAAGGTGCCAAGCACTTAGAAAATATATAAGCATGGGCCAGGGTTATTTGCAAATTCAATGCTGTGGTGTGAAATGTAATGCCACAGAAAATAGCCTCCAGAGTTAGAAGCCAACCTTTGATTTAGATAGGTCTGTTACATTGAAGTATCTCAGAAAGCCTCAGTGCTAGAGAATTGAACCTTTGTGTAGCTGAAGCCCTTATCTCAAAATTCACCATGCCTCACCATGCCCATTACTGTAGAGTGTGATTTAAGTGTCAACAAAATGTAGTTTGTTTTGTTGTTGTATGTAAGGGTACGTTTGGTTGCGATTACAAATTGTAAACTCCGTTTGACCCCAGGTACATTGCCCCGGGGCAAATGAGTTTATTGTTCAAATTGATTTTTCATCAACTAAACTCCGTTTAGGGTACATTGAAGAAAATCACGTTTGGTTGAAAATCCCAACCAGACGTATCTATATGTAGTCACATCTCTTTGAAGGTTTCTCAGCTCAGCTCACCTCGCTTCACATTCTACCACTTCGCATCTACCCATATGGATATCCTCTGGGGATGTCCGATACAAGCAATGATCATATGATACGACCTTTGTCCCCATCCGACAATCTTTTGCCCAAACACGCTCGCGATAACAGAAACATGTCCCACCCAATTCAACACTCTCCACCACTTCCTATTTATCTCATCTTTCAAGAGTGATTTGTTTTGAGATTTTTTGAAGTTCAACAATTGATTGAGATTGATAGAATGAAGTTGAATGATTGGTTGGTTTTGAAAAATTGATTTAAAATTGACCGATTGATAGAAATTGCAAAATTGACTGGAAATTGAACGATCGATAACTCGTTCCTTCAATCAAAATTGGTTTTCAAGATTTCATTTGTACAATCACAATAGATAACTTTTTACACAGAAAGCAAAGAGTAGAAGCAAAGATTGGCTTATGAGTCTTGAGTATGATGGCGTAGTGTTGAAGATGTTGATTGAGTCAAAGAACCAGCATCTTATGAAGTGAATACATATTGGATCGATTGAGGAGGGTTGAAGTCTTTCGAGATGGAATTTTGTGGAGTACAAAAGGGAGTTTATTGCACGGATAAACTCCCTTTTGGCGTTTATCCAAAGTCCCGTTTTAAACTCCTTTTGGGACGGGGAAGGAGTTTATTTCTGGGTACCATAAGAGCATCCACAGTGGTGGGCTCCAAATCGGGGCTATCGCCAAATTTGGTGACTGAGCCCCAATTTTTTGGTGCAATGGCAGTCCCCATTGCCAAATTTTTTTGTAGCCGGCTTCAAATTTCGAGCTTTGGGCTACATATTTGGCAACAAAAAGCCGGGCTCCAAATTCCCGCACTTGTTCAATCCCATACCTCACACATGTAAGCCCACGCGTACCGATCTCAAAGTGTGTGTAAACACATACACCACAAGGACACTTGGATGTCCACCGGGTGTCCGATTTTTCTTGGTGGGGGACGGACCTCCCCCCACAGCACACCGAGAAATGTCCGTCGGACTCCGACGTTCAGACGCCTGAGCAGAGCCCATCGGGCTGCCCAGCACGCGCGAATCAACATTTATCTGACATCTCTCGAGGTTTGTTGGGAGGGCGAACACAGCACTGATTCCAAGAAGACCCCTTTCTGCTACCCATTGGACATCCTGGCTGCTAACCACCGACAGAACTTTGAATCCATTTTGGATAGATATCCAGGTTGTTTTGGAGATCACTTGTTTCAATGTCGATTTGATTGATAACGGTAAATTACTTATCAAGCATTGTTATAATGAGAACCATGTGTGGCTTGGAGGAGACAAGATTGATGAAATGATAAAAAAATGAGAGGATGAAACAATGAAATTATGAAACAATAAGATGATAAAAAAGATAAGATGACAAAAATGATACAACGATCGAACGATCAAACAATCAAACGATCAAACGATACAGCGATCTACTATAAAAACGATCCATCAGTAAAAATGATACAACGACAGAACCGATAAAAACGGTCTAACGATGATGCAACAACATCAACGATGAAAACAATGAGAATGATAAGAACAATAAGCACGATAATGACCAAAGTGAGATGGGTGTGATGATGAAGAAAGAGAAATTCACGAGTCGATACAAGCCATGCAGCACAAGGAGCTAAAGGAAGGGTTATCAAGCTTACGGGTCCGAGTCCAGAAACAAGGTTGGGCACTTCAAGGTCAGGCTCTGTTGATTTGCTTTGTGAAAGCCTGATACATGTCAAGATCAAAGGGACAAAGGAGGATTAGGATGTTTTGTACATACCTCAGATGGTCAAGAGAAGGGGGAGTATACGAGGAGAACAGTTTACGGAGAATAGAGGAAAGAGATGAATGAGTTGAACGGGATGAAAGTGGAAGGGAGATATGTAAGAACGAAACTTTTAAAGTGTCAAATTCATCACATGACGATGATGTCATGTGAAACCTTTGACCAAATCAATCTTCAATTTAGCTGTCCTTGCCTAATTGAGGTTTTTGGTGTGGTGCTCATTGGACACCCAGCCTTGAGAATACTGGTGGCTGTCCTACCTCCATCATATGGACGACTGATCTTGGATCGCGAGTGGTTGTCCGCAGTGTGCTGGAAGGGTGCCCACTTGATTGGGCATCCGTAGGTCTTCCAAGCACAGGGTGCTTGCACGTCATTCTGGCTAGGACGACATCAGTGCATCTTCAGGATGCGGTGCGGATATATATGCGCTCAGACGTCTAGCCAGCGCCCTGTTAGTGGACGTCGGGTCGTGTCTCCAATCTCGGACATGCCCGACGCCCTGACACAAATAAGTGTCTTTGTGGTGTAGAATCTACACTTTTGAAGTCCGAACGACTGCATCCGGATTGATTTGGGGCCCCACCAAATTTGAATTCGCTCGATTTGGAGCCCCGATTTGGAGCCCACCACTGTGGATGCTCTAAGTGGTCCCAAACGTCTTTTTTTCAAAATAATCGCTATTATTCAAAATAATCGCCGAAAATAATCGCTACCAAACGTACCCTAAGTCCAGGGTCGGATTTCGGTACTTTTGGTTGACATGTTGCAGAAGCTCACGATACTGAAAATTATAAATTTTTGAATTTCTCCAATTGAAATGAATTCCGAAAACTATCTTCAACTTCTTAACCAAATCCAATCCTATCAAACTTCATTCTCATTCAATCCCAACACCACAAGCACAAATCCACCACCAAACTATTCATACGATGAAATCCCATTTGAATTGGTCACCAATCAGTCTCAAGAAAGAAATCAAGAATCAGAACAAAGTTTTAAATGGATTGAAGTTTGGGTAATTGATTGTGAAGAAAAACAAATGATATCTAAATTATTTGAATTTATAAAATCATTAAACTTTAATAAAATCGAATCAATAAATCATTTAAAATCAATCAAACCATTCCCAAAAGAATGTAAGTCAAACATTCGCCTCATACAACAAGGAACAATGAAGTTGACGAGACTAATGGATTTTTTGTTTTTTCTAGGTAATCGTAAAGGTTCAACCATTTTAATTTGTCCAACGAGTTTGATTTCATACCAAGAACTAACTTCAAAACTTCAAACTCAAATCACACTAATCCCATTAATTTCAAGTTCAACACCATATAGAATAAAAGTACCATATCAATTATCAAAAGACATGACCAAATCAATCGAATGGTCAACCAATATCTGGCCCCTAGAATTGAATAAACCGAAACCCAAAACAGCCGAAGAGATCAACGAACCCATGTTCAACAAACTTTGGAGTCCATTCGAAATCCAATGGATCTTGACCCAATTTCTTTCAGTCCTAAACTCAGCCTACGAGTCTTTCAAGAACGACCAAGAACTAGGTGTAGGAGTCTTAGTCACAAACCAATCATTAGAATCCATCCAAAAAGAAGGAGACATCGAACCTAATCTATCAAATGCAATAGACAAACGAAACTCTAGCTGTAATCCACTTTCTCATTCATTCCTAAACTTAATCACAAACGTATCAATTCAAGACCAAACCAATTCTCGTCCGTTTATCAAAAAAGAAACCCAAAGAGTAAGAATCGAAGAAGAAGTAGAAGAAGAAAGACCATACTTATTAACCAATTTAGTAGTCTTTGGTACACATGAACCTTGTTTGTGTTGTTCGATGGCTTTGTTACATTCAAGAATTCATCATTTGTTTTATTTACTTCCGGTTCATGGATCAGGTGGATGTGGTTCTTTATGGAATTTTAATAACTTGAATGGTTTGAATCATAAATTCTTTGTTTGGAAACTGAAATTAAATTTCAATATTCCTTTAATCGAATTCGATCCTTGAAACTTTTCATCGATATTCTTGGTTTTGTTTTTCATTTTTCGAGATTTCTTGTATTTACTTAAATGAGTTTAGGATTTCTGTTTTTTCATTACCATTATTGGAGTATGAAAGGTATAGATTCTTTTGATTATAGGAATGTAAAGTCTTTTTTCAAATTGGAAAGTTAATTCATTTGATAAATAGAAACATCACAATATCACTTCTAAAACGATTCTTTCTAATTTGCATGAATACCAAGAAGAAAGTATGAACTGTAATTCAAACCCCCATAGTATCGATCCATTTTCTACAAGTTCTTTAATTTCAAAACTCCATGTTCATTGAAACAAAACTCCCCATCGACTTCAAAGAAAAAGAAATCATAGTTTTTGAATAAAAGGTGAAAAATGAAAAAAGATAGAGATAGACATCTAAGATTTATTTCATAAACCATCTCATTAATTTATTAGCTAGATGAAGACAAACAACCGAAGCAACAAAAGCGACTGAAAGACCTAAAACCACCACAGGTTCACTACCAAAGAAAAGCACAGATGATCAATGAACTGTATAGAAGAAGAACAAGAGAGAAGAAAGAAACTTACACTTTCAAACCAACGTTATCATCTTGAGTATAAAGTCTCATCATCGTATTACTACTACCACCATGACCAGCAGCTCTAGTAGAAGTAGGTCGATCTTTATCATTCTTGGATGGTAAATTAGCTGCTCTTCGTCTGTTTAACCAATCAAACCGACTTTAGTGATCTTCTTCCCCGAAGTTTTGACTATTGATGGAAACACTTTACCTGACTGTTTGACCTGCTGCTGCTCTGGCTGCTAATGAGTTGGCAGTGATTGCGTCTGATTTTTCTTCGACCTGATTTGATGGAAAGAAGTTAGTTTTTCCAAGTGAGTTTGGATTCGACTTTCTGAATTGAAGTTGAGCATACCATTTTTGAGTTTGATATGAATGAGTTTTGAGAGTTCTTTAGTTCTTTGATGGTGGTGGTAGTGGTAGTGGTGTGTTTTAAGAATTCATTTGACTTTCAACTGGAAACCAGTTGACCAACTATGTAGGACGTGGCATAGTGAATAAGGCTATCCTATTAAGCTAATCATGACACTCATTATAAGACTATTCATCACACACCCCTCGGTACTCTTCAGTCGGACTTCAACTCTAAACTTATCTTCAATCTTCACCTCATCGTTCACTATTCACCATCATCATCGTCATCAAACCACGGACTATCGAAACAAATCTATCAATCCTAGAATCAAAATCGAAACAAACTATCCAGTCTGAATATCTAAAATCATCAAACCATCACTTCATCAAAAACGATTTCACAAAATGAATGATTTCGAACAATTAGAAAGACTTTCATTAGTCAATAGTATAACCAAAGAACTTTATAATCATATAGGATTACAAGACAAAACCTTAGCAGAATATTTAATTTCATTACACGAAGAATCCAAAAGTTTTGAAGAATTTAAAGTCAAATTAAATGAAGTAGGAGCCGAATTTCCCGAAAGTTTTATTACCAATATGGATAGATTAGTTTTAAGTTTACATCCAAAGTATCAAAAATCAAAATCAAATGAAAATCAAATTATTAAAGAAGATCAAAATCATTTAGAAGATTCACAAAAAAGAAAAGATAGATCACTTTTTCCTGGATTAGCTATACCAGATGTTGATTGGCAACCAAGTTATGTTCCAGATCTTAAAACAAAATCAACATCAAAAGATTTAAATGAAGAGAGTGTGGATGATTTAATGAACGAATTAGAAAACAAACGTAAAGGATTACAAGCTGTAATAGAAGAAGAGGAGGAAGAAGAAACCCACAACCATTCAAAAGGAAAAGGACGCGATCGTGATCAAGATGATCGAAGAGGAAGACAAAACCTTTCGATCAGTCCTCCTCGTATACGAAATCAGCATCAAGATCGATATGAACGTGAACGTGAACGTGATCAAGGGTATAATAATAGAGGTCGAAATCAAGACAGAAATCATCGCAGAAACCCATTAGATCCCAAACCAATCTTATTTAAAATTTATCAAGGAACAGTCACATCAGTAAAAGACTATGGCTGTTTTGTTTCGTTAGAAGGAATTTCAGAAAGATCAGAAGGAATGGTACATGTGAATCTAATCACTTCTACTCGAATCAATCATCCATCTGATCTAGTTTCAAGGAATCAAAAAGTTAAAGTTAAAGTCATGTCAATTGTAGGAACTCGACTTTCGTTATCTATGAAAGATGTCGATCAAAACACCGGTGCAGATCTTTCACCTCAACTAAGGATCAAATCAGAAGCTGAAATGGCAGAAGAAGCTGCACAGTATGCTGCAAGACATGCTACTGGTGCTAACAGTACAAGTACTTCTAAAACCTTTGCTGATGATCATCGAAGTAGTGCTCGTAGATTAACTTCACCTGAACGATGGGAAATCAAACAAATGATTGCGTCTGGAGCGGCAAGTGCAGCTGATTATCCTAATCTAGATGATGATTTGATTACACCTGGTAGTACGATGGGAATGGCAGCAGCAGCTCAAGCCGAAGAAGAATTAGATGTCGAGATTCGAGAAGATGAAGCACCCTTCTTAAAAGGAGCCCATCGAAGAGTCTTAGATTTAAGTCCAGTGAAGATTGTCAAAGCACCAGATGGAACCTTGAATCGAGCAGCATTAGCAGGAGCCGGATTAGCTAAAGAAAGAAGAGAATTACGTCAACAAGAAGCGAATGAAAGAGCGGATGCCGAAACGCAAGATACGAGTACGGCTTGGTTAGATCCAGCTGCTAAACCTCATGAAAGGTTATTTGCTCAAGATGCAAGAGATAATACGATGGGTAAAAAACAAGAAGAATCAGGTTGGAAACAAGCTACGTTTAATCAAGCGACTACATATGGAAAGATCACTTCACTTAGTATTACTGATCAAAGAGCTAGTTTACCGATTTATAAATTACGAGATGCATTGGTGAAAGCTGTGAAAGAGAATCAAGTGTTAGTAGTAGTAGGAGATACAGGATCAGGTAAAACTACTCAGATGACACAATATTTAGCAGAAGAAGGTTTAGCTGATCGTGGTAAGATTGCCTGTACTCAACCTCGTAGAGTAGCAGCCATGTCAGTGGCTAAGAGAGTAGCAGAAGAGGTCGGTTGTAGGTTGGGTCAGGATGTGGGTTATACAATTCGATTTGAAGATTGTACTAGTCCTGAAACTAAGATTAAATATATGACAGATGGAATGTTACAAAGAGAAGCTCTAGTGGATCCTAATCTTACGAATTATTCGGTGATCATGTTGGATGAAGCTCATGAGAGAACCATTGCTACTGATGTACTCTTTGGTCTATTAAAGAGTGAGTGAAAAAAGTTCGGGTTTTGGTTTTGATTCAGAACTGACATTGTGATCTGTTGAATTGAACTAGAATCGATTAAAAGAAGACCGGATTTAAAATTGATCGTCACCTCTGCAACATTAGATGCAGAGAAGTTTTCGAAATACTTTTACGAATGTCCGATCTTTACGATCCCAGGAAGAACTTATCCAGTCGAAGTTTTATATACCAAAGAACCTGAAAGTGATTATTTAGATGCAGCTTTGATCACGATCATGCAGATTCATATTTCAGAACCACCGGGAGACATTTTATTATTTTTAACAGGACAAGAAGAGATCGATACATCAGCCGAGATTTTGTATGAACGAATGAAAGCCTTAGGACCACATGTACCTGAATTGATTGTTTTACCGGTTTATTCTGCATTACCATCTGAGATGCAAACCAAGATATTTGAACCAGCTCCACCAGGAGCAAGAAAAGTGATCTTAGCTACTAATATTGCTGAAACTTCCATCACGATTGATGGGATTTATTATGTAGTAGATCCAGGATTTGTGAAACAGAAAGCATGGGATCCTAGATTAGGAATGGATTCCTTGGTCGTCACACCTATCTCACAAGCACAAGCTAGACAAAGATCAGGTAGAGCAGGTCGGACTGGACCTGGGAAATGTTATAGATTGTATACTGAAGCGGCTTATCGAAATGAAATGTTACCGACTTCTATACCTGATATCCAACGTCAAAATCTGGCTCATACGATCTTAATGCTTAAAGCGATGGGAATCAATGATTTGTTGAATTTTGATTTCATGGACCCTCCTCCTCAACAAACTATGATTACTGCTTTGGAAAACTTGTATGCTTTATCTGCTTTAGATGATGAAGGTTTATTAACTCGATTAGGTAGAAAAATGGCAGATTGTAAGTTTCTTTTTTGATTTTTTTATTGATAACAAACGTCAAAAAACGAAAATGAAACTGATGAAACAAAAAATGGGTTGATTGTTTTGGTTGACAATCAGTTCCTATGGATCCAGAATTATCAAAGATGTTAATCGCATCAGTCGATTTAGGTTGTTCAGAAGAAGTTTTAACGATTGTAGCCATGATCAGTGGAGCCACGAATGTGTTTTATAGACCAAAAGAAAAACAAGCGCAAGCTGATGCGAAAAAAGCAAAGTTTCATCAACCTGAAGGTGATCATTTAACTCTTTTAGCTGTTTATGATGGATGGAAAGTGAGTAAGTTTAGTAATGCTTGGTGTCATGAAAATTGTAAGTCATTCTTTTTCAATTCGATTCGAATTATCAACTAAGAAGAAGAAAAAAACTAAAACAACTGAAACACCTAAAAACGGGTTGAATTTGAATTTGGTATTATAGATATTCAAGCAAGAGCCATGAGAAGAGCACAAGATGTAAGAAAACAATTATTAGGAATCATGGATAGATATAAACATGATATAGTGAGTTGTGGAACGAATTATAATCGGGTTAGAAGAGCGATCTGTTCTGGATATTTTAGACATGCAGCTAAGAAAGATCCACAAGAAGGTTACAAAACTTTAGTAGAAGGTACACCTGTTTTTATTCATCCTTCTTCTGCTTTATTTAATAGAGCTCCTGAATGGTAAGTCTTCTATGTTTTGATTACCTCTTCTTACCAAAAGTTGATTGATTTTTTTTCGGGGCGGGGGTCATGGGTGTATGCAGGATTATTTATCATGAATTAGTTTTAACTACAAAAGAATATTGTAGAGATGTGACGGCCATCGAACCTAAATGGTTAACAGAAGTAGCACCTACATTCTTTAAAGTGGCAGATGCAAAGACGATGTCGAAAAGGAAACGGAATGAAAAAGTGGCTCCATTGTTTGATAGATTTGCAAAGGTTCGATTCTTTTTCTCACTGGGTTTTTTTTCGGAAGAGGAATTGATTGGGATTTGGGTTTTTTGGGGGGGTTTAGACTGAGAATGATTGGAGGATATCGAAAGTTAAGAGAAGTACTAGGACTAGTCAAACTTTTGGATAAAAGTTTTGGTTTTTTTAATAAAGGTGTTAAGAGAAAGAAATCAATGTAAAAAAACTTGGTGAGTTTTTTTTGGCTAAAATTGTTTTGAAAGTTTGATTTTTGTCTTTCTGATTTTTTTTTCTTTGATTGATTGGTTGTTTAGAAAGGTTCAAAAAGGTGTCTTTTGTTTACTTGTTTTGTTTTGAATAAAAAAGATTTCTATAAATCAAAAATGATCATGATGTAAAAAGATTTATACAAAAAAAAGTTTTAAATATACCAAAAAAGTTTTTAAAAAAAGTAATATGTATTCATTAAGATTTTTGATTTCTTTTTGTTAATAATAAGTTTATGGGAGAAAACTCTTTGGTACATAAACAATGATCTAAAGAGAGTTGATTTAGTTGATTGTTATTATGATATGATTTTTGAAATGGATAAAGTTTAGAATGGGATTAGGTTCATTTCAGGTCTTTAACTTTTTCAAAGAATTTCTTTTAAGAAGTTTCACCAATATGAAAACCTCAACCGGTGTGAATCGGGAATCCATTTTTGAAATATTGATTTCTAGAGTTATACAAAATCACATAACTTCAAGAAATCAATTTTCTAACAAGACAGAGTTTCCGACTTTGTGCAATTCTGTAAAACCAAGAATTATAATCCACTTAAATGTGGAATATAATTCACTTGGCTCTGGTGGTGGGACTATACTCAAAGTTTTTACACAAAAGGCCGTCACGCGGTAGCACGGTAGATAAGTACGTAGTTGATGTTAGATTGTTGATTAATGAAGCAGCAAGATGAAAAAGTTGTGAAACTATGAAACTCATCCAATCTCGTTTGACTTTCTTAACTCTATTATGCCACAAGAAATCGACCTCGAGCGTGAATCGACTGCAAGCAGCAACGACCTCCCCGAATTTGAAATCGGGGATGTCAGTTCTTTTCCTTTTTTTTCAATTGTTTTCCTTTCTTTCTAATTGTTCTCTTTCTTCAATTGCAGTATTTACTGACAACTTTGTTATCATCCTTTCTTTTCTAGTTTATAGGACCACTACCTGCACCAATCAAACGTGCACGAGCTTTCGTATGCCATCTCGACTACCTCCTGTACTTCAACCACGGAGGGAAGAATCCAAAGTGGAAATCACATCGATCGAAAAACGGGAGTATTCCGATCCAAATCTCGCCCGATATGGATCTGACCGCCTTTGAAGTCCAAGTGGCCAAAAGCTGTAGCACCTCAGATATGAAACACCTCGGAAAAATGATCACCGAAGACCGCCGTGCCCAGGCTCTTGGAATCGAGTGGTTTTGTTACATTCCATCTGTCCACAATTATCTCAAGAATGATAAGACTTTACTCAACACATCCAAGACATTCAATTCGTGGTGCGACACTGCCCTCAAGTATCCCAAGAAGAAAAACTTGTCGTGTCTCTAGTCATGCCGAAGCCTGAGGATCCTGTGGACATTGTGCAAAAGGTACGTTTTTTTACCATGCTCATATTTAATCTATTTTACTGATATCTTTCATTCTGTTGAAACCCTTTTTCTTTGTACAATTAGAATGCAGCGCTTGCGAAGACTCTCCGTGGAATACCAGCCGCTATTGATGCAACTGGTGCAGACGATCATCCCGCCGTGAGTTTATCCACACTGTGATCCTTTAAAAACTCAAGCTTACCATTTCCTTTGTGTGGTTCCAGAACATGAGCGATGTTAGTGATGTTGATCAGTACAAGGTTGAGTTGGGTAGGTTGAACACGGTTGGCAATGTAGATGCCTCGATCGATCGACACATCCGCACGTACCAGCTACCAAATGACAACGATGTCTATGTTTTAATGACTGCTGGGAACCGTGAGAAGTGGGCAAGAGCACTTGTGAGTACGATAATATTCAATTCTGGACTAGTTTTTTCAGCTAACTTTCTCGATCTTCCAAGGTTGACACAACCATTCATGGTGTGTCTTTGACCAGCCCACCATCTTCCATACGAGAAAGCAAGCGCGCACTCAACGTGAAAAGACGTCGAGTTGGTGTCTCCGGGACTTTTGAACCCCAGCAGACTACTAGTACTGTGCAAGGTACTAGTACAGTGCAAGTCGTTCGTGGTTCAGCTACGATGTCTGAATACCTCAACTTCATCAAAATCGAAGATTCTGATCGTATTTTGGGGATTTTGACCAGCAAGAAGATCAAAGACTATCATAATTTTTCAGGTGGAATCACTAAGGAGGAATTGAAAGATTTAGGGTTTGAAATTGGCGAGATAAGAGATCTATTGGACAATGTGATTAGATTTGATGAACACCTTTCAATGGATGCTCATTAGGTGTCTCAACAAGTTTTATAACATTTTCTTTGTGATTCTCTTAAAATGTAGCAGAAGATTTTGTGATAGTTTATTAGTGATACTCCTACAATATAGCAAAAACTGTAATAACTTTTATCTGCAATCCTCTTAAAATCAAACCTGTAGCAGCGGCAGAATTGAAAATATGATTTTATTGATTTTAACACAATGCTTTTGAATTCGATTGAGGAGTTCAAAAGTTAGTTTTTGATCACCTCTGACTTGAACTTCCATCAGATCAATCGATTGACTTGAAATCCAATCAGAGGTGATCAATTTCAAGTTAAGGAGAGAGCCTCTGGACTGAAGACACATGCTATGTTCAACTGTGAAACAATGAATAAATTTACAGTTTATATTCTCCTTAGCATGATATCTGACACCTTATCATAAATTCATTTAATGTAAGATACAAAAAGAGAGATACACATCGAGAAAACAATAAGAATTGATAGAGACGATTCTAATACTCTTCATACATGTCCTCTGGTAAGCAATACCCAGAAGCTTCGTATTCGGCCACTAGAAGCTCGGGTGTGACAAATTCCAATACAGTATCTCGAATCGGCCAAGTCGCATCACTGCCCGACTTCTCCAATATCTCACTTCTCTTGAAGTGGGCTTTGATTACCGAGAAGCACATCTTGATCGGATTCAACTCGGGGGAATAGGCTGGTAAATATACTAATCTGACACCTTCAAAAGGAAAGGTATCAAATTCAGTGTCATGATGTATTGATGATTGAGAGTAAACAAGCTTACCAGCAATTTCACAAAGTTCTTCAACATGACCTCCCTTATGAATTGGACAGTTGTCCATGACCAAGATTGAATTTTCAGCTGGATAAGGATTCATCAAGGGAAGCTGTATTGTTTATTTGTGGATTAGTGAAATGATTGACTGAAACGATGATAAGAAAAGAAACTCACCAGCTGAAATTCCAAAAAGTTTTCAAATTGGCTGCGGTCGATGCTGCCTTCACGGACAGACATGGTTATCAACCCATGTAGTCCAATCGCAGGAAGCAGTGAATATCGTTTTGGGTTTGAACGTTTGACCCAGCGCGTGACACGTTGACCCTTTGGCGACCGTCCGTTGACTCTCATCAAATCCCGCTCACAGATAGCACTCTCATCTGACAGGATCAGAGAAGAATAGAATTGAAAGGGATCAGATAAAATCGAAATGAAAAGATAGAAAAAGAAGTTCAAAACAATGTGTTACTCACCGGTGAATACAAGGTATTCAGCTGGGACGTTCTTCATGTCATCGATAAATTTCGCAGTCTTGTAGAAATCTTTGCGAACGTTTGAGGTCTTGGCCTTCTTGAGAGTCAGGTACAGGCGAGTGTTGAGCTCGAGTGAAAGTTCTTCACAAGATGCCAAGACGCCGGTTTCATCGTAGATCGCCTCCCGGATCTCGTCCAAGAAAAGAGAAGGCTGAGTTGCTACGAGTTCTCTGATGAAGTCACGATCTTCATCATTGAATATGAGAGGTGCGCCTCGTTTCTTGTACTCTAATGGATTCCTGATAACTGATTGGGTTTGTTGATAAAGTGCCATCCATTGGTGGAAAGTGGCTTCGCAAATGTTCTCGCTAAGCATATCTCGGATTTCATCAGTTGAAAAGCCTTCAAGGCATTTGGTAACGGCCAAAGCCTTGATTGTGGCCGAGTATTTGACAAAGGGCATATGATGTTGGGTAGTTGAGTGAAAGATCAAGTTGTGAAGAGTGGTGGTGGTGGTGGTGGTGAGATCGATCGAGGTTTGGTGGTGGATGAGTGGATGTGAGCTGAAACCCATCGAAGCGCTGGATGGGGTTTGGATCAGTCCCCATCCAGCTGATCCGGCCTCGGGTATTTCTCGGATCGGGGCCAAATTTGCGCTTTTCCAAAAAAAAAAAAAAAAATTACAAGCTTTCGTGCAGATGCAGTAAATGTGGAATATAATTCACTTGGCTCTGGTGGTGGGACTATACTCAAAGTTTTTACACAAAAGGCCGTCACGCGGTAGCACGGTAGATAAGTACGTAGTTGATGTTAGATTGTTGATTAATGAAGCAGCAAGATGAAAAAGTTGTGAAACTATGAAACACAGCTCATTGGGGCTGGTAAGAGAAAAAGCAATAGCGTAATGAAACTGAGACTTGATTTTATTTTAGCGATTGTTGGTGGTGACGCTCTTTAAGACATCCAATCCACTTCTTCGTACCATGTATGAAATATGTAGTCAGCACACTCATACTTTTTGTACATGAAAGAAATAAAATCATCTGAAATATAACTAGCAGGCACCAACCCCATATTCATACTAGGCGGACACTTTGTTAAACCTTTTTGAAAGTTGAAAGGCACGGTTCCAACTTCCCGGGGAATATCGAAGAGGAGGAGACAGATTAGCACTCTAGTGGGGGTCTCGAGGGATGCGACTCCACTAGGCTCATGGCTTTCAACACTGTGAGTGAGGGAGAGAAGCCGATTGTCCTCGCTAGGAAAGAAACAGAGACGACCTTTTTCACTCTAGCTTTCCTCGAGGGGCTATCCCCGCCCTGCGTATAGTAGTGGAGAATCAGAAGTTACAGTAGATTGTAGTTTCCCCACCCCAGGAGTGGATTGATGATTGAGTTGGATGATGAAGATCGATCGAGGATGATGAAATGTCTCAGCAGGATGAGATCTGATTCAAGTTAATCAGCAAATGATGACATTCTAACTCAAAATGATACAATAAACTACAACACTTTCATCAGCTCAGCATCAACCTCAACACCATAAAAACAAAATAAAACAAGGGAACTACTAAAACCAGCCCGCTTTGAAACCTGCGACCGCCCGCTTTTGTTGACTATCACATATCTGTTGACAGCTTTTGACACCTCAGAGAGCCGGAACTCTCATCAACTTTCACTCGAAGGAATCAGCTGATATTGGACTGAACTGTAGTTCAGACCCGAGGTACTTATTCTATTCCTTGTCTGAATTCAATTGAAATGTAATCAAATAGAAACCGGGCGGTCTTGACTCTTGTTAATTCTTGAACCAATTGTTTTTGTATTTCAAAACACGAATTCAGGAGAGAGAGATAGTAAACAATCGGGAATCGATCAAGTCAACAGAGCATGTAGAGGTATGTATGTAGTTACAATCAATGATGTGATCAATCATCCGTAGTGGAAGAAAGGTCCGGGAACATCGCAACACCATATGATCGACTCTCTTTGAGAGTTTCTAAAACTTTTGGATTCGAGAGAGGTAAATTGAGGTCTTCAGAGATCAATTGCATCGCAACCTCAGGTAACAAAACTTGTCGAATGAAGAAATTGGCAGACAGAGGAGCAGTTCTGGTATCATCGAGTTTGAATCTAGGCAAGGAAGTTGTGATGAAAACTTTTTCAAGTGTACTTAAGATGACTTCGAGTCCGGCCATCCCATAACTATGGTATAGAGTTTGATTAGAAAACGAGTTGTTTTTGGAGTGAAACTTAGTGACTCACTATCCTGGTTGTTCAATCTCAAACTGATTGAATTGATTCATGATGGAGTTTCTGCTGGGACCAGCTCGAGTCCATGTAGCAATGGCTGGATCATAGAACTGCGAGTCTTGGTTGTTCACAATCTTGAGTAGATGTTCTTGATAAGCCTGTACACGTCTAAAAGGATGGGGTTTAGCATAGAGATACATGTGTATTCAGAAGTGGATGCGACATACCGGCATAAAACTTTTGAATCAAATGAAGTCGGCCAGCCGCGTTCTTTTGCCAGGGGAATTAAGTCCCGTTCAAGCTTGTGCAGCTGACAGGTAGAAGCTATCTCCCAAAACTGCAATACATGATGCCAGACAGGCCCGAGTGAGGACAGCAAGAGCTATTAGAGAGTCGAACAAAGATTAACTTACTGGAAGATCAACTGCCTCCGGGTTACCAGGAAGAGGTCTTTTCTTAGCGTGCGGCTTAGCAAGATGAAACTGAAGCTGTTCTTGAAACTTCTTGGAAGGTTGCTTGGGGAGTGGGTCGTCACATAATGGACATTTGCGTTCATCTATGTCGGATTGATCATCAGAATCATCAGAATCATCAAGGTCCACAAGAGAAGAATCGAGCAGATCGAATACACTGCTGGTTGAAGCAGCTGCAGGGATGTCTTGCTCATTCTCATCATCGAGAGATTTTTCTTCATTGGTGAGTTGTTGAGGGCGGGGGCATCGATTGGCTTGATGCCCTGTCTGATTGCATTGACTACACTTGGAAGTCTTTGTGACGGTCAGACGAGGGAGCTCAGGCATTGGATGTCGAGAGGCAGCTTGACGTTGAGCAGCGGTACAGTTGTTTGCTTTGTGTCCGTTTCCACCACACTGGCCGCATTTGTATGATCGTTTGTTTTGCTTTTCCAAAACATCGAAGTCAGATTGGTACCGTGCTGTTGAAGACTTTGAGCGTCTTTTTTGGGCATCAAGTTTTGGGCGTCCTCGGCCATTTGATCTGACATCTGGATTAGTTATCATGACAAGGGCGAACCGATTTGACTCAAGTTGTTCGATCTCGCTGTGTATCTTGCAAAGCTGATGCTCAGGAAGGTCAGACAATACCTCGATTTTTCTTTTCATCGAGGACCTCAAATCATCGAATGTAGCCGGTGTAAGATCAAGGCCCAACTTCCACTGATCATGGATCTGATCAATTGTAAGAATACCACCGTTGTTCAACATTTCAGCTAGCTCATGTGAGCAAGGCATTCCCCAAGCACCACGGAACGAGCCGGTACATGGACGTAAACCGCAGTCAGGTATGAGGACAAATTGTTCTTTAAGCTTCAGAAGTGCAAAATTTGAGAGCTTGTTTTGAACGGTTCGAAAACTATCAGGAAGTCCGTTGATTGACTTGTTCGTCTCGATTCCTTCCAGGCCCATATACTCGCTGATCTGATGCTCCAGAGCGTGTGTGATAGAGTTGAAACATGATAGAAAATCTTGATTCCCACCAGTGATAAACAACTTGATGTGGTAATGTGATCCTTCGACTCTTGATGTACTCGAATTGCCAAAGTGGACTTGCTTTGATGTAAACATCACCACAAACTTTTGAGTGAGCTTGAGCCACGTATTGTTAAGATAGTCGTAGAAGTGATGCTTCTTTGCAATTGCACTGACCACAGAGAGGTTTTCATTGTATTCGGTTTGGTTTGTCGAGGAACAAAATACATTCCATGCCTTCATGAATGCATCCCATTCATCTGTGTCCACCTTGCCTTGTGGTGTCTTCACGGAACTTCTACAGTTCTTGAGTAGATTCTGGTTGATGTGCCAGATACATAGCAGGTGATGGGAGTCAGGAAATACAGTCTCGATGGCTTTGATTAACGCCCATTCGCGGTCGGTGAAGAAAGTCGAGGGTAGAACTGGGTTATCGCTGTTGAATATAACCTCCCGGAGCTGGGTGAGAGCCCACTGGTAGGACTCTTCACATTCATTTGACATGAAAACAAGAGCAACAGTGAAAGACCGATGGGTGTTTGTTGTTCCAACAACGTGGAGCAAGGGAAAATTGAACCGGTTGGTCTTGTATGTGCTATCTAATCCAAGGACCGTTGGAAAGCGTCGTCCAAGCCGTATCCCATCAGGACTTGCAAAAAAAAAGTTTAGAACCTTGCCATTCAAGTCGGTCTTTGTACGAGATGCCCAATCCTTCTTTTTTATAAGGTCCATGAGCCCCTGCATAGGAGTTCTACCTTTCAACCATTGATTACGGTGCTGAGCGCGCACATTGTTGATATCACGAATGAGAGGGGGTGGTCCTGAGCTTGAGCGAGCTAGAAGTTGTCTGATTTGTCGAGGTCGTAATCCAGCATCGGAGAGAATACAAAT